AGGCCTACAGGGCATCCCAAAAAATTTGGTTTGACCTTCCATAACTATGGAAAGCTCTCTTTTACGGAAAGCTTTACAGGTCCCTCAAATTTGATGCAAGGCCGGTTCAATTTGGATTTACACAGTAAAGCGCATCATCGATCCCTCTCAACTATAATATTGTGGTAGGAACTTCTAGTCTACATTGCATTGCCATTGTAAAAATGCTACTGTTTCAAAATTATCAAAGGATCTGGAAAGTTATGTGTAGGTTCTTTACTCTGTTAATTACATTGCTTAAATTACACGTGATTATGGCTTTGTGAATAGCGTAATCGCAGTGTTGGGGAACATAACAAGACGGCTGTCGAGGTGTACCTGGCCTAACTTTAAACTAAGCATTACGGTTGAATGCAAACTTCAAGTAGTCAGCGACTATGAAAAGCCTAGCGCTAGAATTTTCGAGTTACTTGGTTTGTTCCTGATGCCAAATAGTGCCCCTCTCTAGCTTTAAACCCTCTTTAGTTCCAGAAAGATTAGTAATCTGCTCCATACTGTGAATCGAAGCTGAAATCAGCTTTACAATACGGTAGTTCGGATGTTCGAGGCCGTAAAGGCTTTCATACGAGCAAGTTATTAGCGCTCAAACGTTTGATACATTTTTCTGAGACATCCTTTATAAATCTTTACCGAAGTGAACTCCGAACTACGCACGGGTGGATGTTGCACTATAAACGCGATGTCTATGTATTTAGACACGGTTTTGGAAACTGTTTCTCAAGTATTAGGTTGTTGCAAAATTAATGTCCGTTTTGCAAATTTTCACTTTGGAAGGCTATAACTTCGTTCACTCTTTATATTTTTGAATGCAGTCAAGACCATCAGAAACATCAAACCTTTGTTAACTTAGCGCGCCCCTGCCTATACTGATATCGCAAACGGGAAGAAAACCATGCGTCAGAAAACTGAAAGTTTTTCCCTTGAAAACCTTGTCTTCGAGAGCTCACAACTCCCTTCAAGCTTTGTCCCTATGTCTGCTAATTTGCTGATTTTGTAGCCGCAGGCCAATAGTATACGTGCGTATAGAAAAAACTCCAACTAAGGAGTTCTGCGAAAAGAAAAGATAAAAATTCAAAAATGTTCAATCTTTCAAGCCTATTTGTTGTAGGCTTGTAAGTGCCTAATTATGAAAGTTTGGAAATTTTCGCGCACTGAATAGCTAAGTTTCTTTTCAAATATTGTAGTTAAGGTGTGCTAATTTCAAGCTTACAGAAATCGGCGAAGCTTTGGCGATTGCCTTAATTATGAGAAATCTCTGACCCATAGAATGCCAGCAGCGAGTGTCTATTTCGACGCGTCAATTTCTCGGTCCACATATCTTCCAAAAATCTACAGAAGCACGCAGTGGGTAAACAATCTTCATCCAATACACCTGCTATGTTTTCAGAAGAATTCGTTCATCTGCTCCTGAATTGTGGTCAAAAAAATGGAAGTAATGAGATTCTGATTTTGAGTGCGGATGTGGAAAATGCTGGCGAAATTCTCACAAGTGAGGATAGCAGCTTAATTCCACCGCCATGAGAAAGTACATGAAGAGAGCTTTCCAATTATATGCAGAAGCTGTATCGAAAAAGAAAGTCTGATGGGAAAAAAGTGTTTGGAATATAGGTCTAGGAAAACGGACATTATTTTTGCAACAACCTAATATTTATGATTTCTTCAAGTTAGCATACATGAAACCTTAACAGAGGAATATTAGTAGCTACTAGCTGGCATACTCAAACTTTGCAAAAAAATCAACCAAAGCGATAAAATCGATGTCGATCGATCACGAAAAGAAGTCTCTGACACACGCCGCGCCCCGAAGTGTATGATCGGTTCAGAAATGGAATTTTCTATCCTAAACATTCACCAAACAGCTTTATGCAGGGTGTCCCAAAAAGATGTGAACACTGTTTAATAATAATTCTCTTGCTTTCGTGTGTTTCAATTATTGAAAGATGTAATTAATTATTGATTGATTAATTTATTTATTCGAATCCGTTCAGTAAAGCGGCCTTCAACTTAGATTACAATCTAAATGATCTGAAAAGTTGTATAGCAGCAATTCCAAGCTGATTTCAACCTCTCACTAGTTTGTATAGCTTTTTAAAAGGTGTAGTCACAGTCTTAAGAAGCACTGTAGGCAGCTTTTGCAGTTTATTTGGCGTAACTTATAAATGAAGTATTGCGGTAAAGTGCAAAGTCCATATTCAATGTCAGCGGCTTTAAATAGCGTATAAGAATTTTGTAGTTGTTTGGTTTGCTTTTTGAGGCGAGCTGGGCCCTCAATAGCTCAAAACCCTTGATTTTCGTACCGTAATCCTAATCTATGTTGAAGCCTGCTCTACTATATGGTACACAAATCTAAGTAAAAGGCTTTGGTGTGTACTTACTTTTGGGAAACCTATCTCGGCAGTTTTCTAAAAAATTGCATTTTTGATAGAAACGCATCAGTATTAGCTTTGCTACAAAGAAAACAGATCATGAAACTCATAGCATACATGATAGGAAGATCGATCTCTTTTTTCGAGTAAAATCGTGCTAATTTTTTTTGAAAACAAGGAGCCATAAACTTTGAAATTGGTGCAAATCAACATTTGATCCTATCTGTATCATTATAAAAGCGTGCTAGATTTCATATATACTGCAGAAGATTAATCTAGGCGAATCTAGGGACTATTCCATACTGTTAGACTTTTCTATGCTTTATCACATGTATGGCAGATGAAGTAAGGAGAAAAATTGACAAAATTGACAAAATCTGCTGAAAAGCCCACAACTGGGAAAGGCGCTGCGAGCCACGGACTTGCAGGTTTTTCCCGTTTCTGAAACAGCATATCTTCCAGATGAGGAGTGTGCAGTGATCATCACCAGATAGGTCCAAAAGACGATAGGCTTGAGTCCCATATGGCGGGAATCTTATTACCGACTCTTCTACTCGTACAGTTTTTGAGGTTTTTGCTAGCTACAGACCAGCAACTCAACCAAAAGCTTTCATTTTCACTACATCAATACGAAAACGTCGAAAATAAAAGTAAAAGTCGAACTAACTTTTAGGAATCTGCAATTAACAACAGAGGATTGCCTGACAACGAGCTCATTTCATTTCAAACTCATCATGCCTTCTTTGACAGCAAACATTTCTGGAGTTGAGCCCACCACCTAAGGGCAGTGTCTCAGCAGAATTTCGTTTTCCAGATTTTCACATGTTCGGAGCCTTCTCGTCATGAGAAATCCGTACCTGGGCTTTTCAGCGAATGATGGCAACAATGAGCTTTTTCCAAAGTTTTCCAGGTCTGTCTTCAGTGGAGAAAACGTGCAAGTGGGCAGCACCCGGAAAGAGGGGACGGAGCGCGGAGACTTCCGGCGCATCTTCACTGAATGCGGACCTAGGAAGCTTCGGAAAAAGCTCATTTTTCCCATTTTCAGCGCTGAAAAGCCCAACTATCAATTCCTCACAGCGAAAAGGCTCCGAAAAGGTGAAAAAGTGAAATTCGAAATCTGCCGAGATACTCCCTTTAAGGAAAATACCCATCATTCATTGAATTGTGCTTGATCGGTGGGGGTGGCGGCAGATACATGACTCAATGTCTTAAGTAACATTGCCACAGGATTACTGGCGGGAGCTGAGGCTCGTACTGCTTGAAGTCTCGTTGCGGCGTCGCTTCGCTAAAGTGACTCCTGATCCGTACCCAATATCCGGCTCAGCAACGGGTGCGTTGCTGACCTACCGGATCTCTGCTGACTATCAGATTATGTGAAAAATCAAATCAAAACAGCTTCTTATTGAGTGCTCGGAGCTGATGAATCAAGTACTTTGTACCTTGTACACTAATCAATGAATAAGACTTGATATTGTTTTGCTTCAAAGGATATTTTTGATTGAGGCCTTATTGGTTTGATTTTGCTTGCAAGAGATCGCAACCTAAGAAGGATCGGGCTATGCTGACCGTCCAGACTGAGCGCCCAAGACATCACCTGCTTCGAAACAACGGTTCATTCTAAGGAAAGTATCAGTCGTTCCAAGCTGATTTCAAATTTATTTCTGTCTTTACAAAGGACCAGACTAAGTGAGAAATCTATTCCCTCGTCAGTTTGGGATATCGGTACATATGCACAACATTCGCTCTTTTAGACCTGTACCCTGTTAGGCCGTGTAAACATAAAACATATCATCCACATATCTATAGAACTAACAAGCATCGTTCACCCAACTTCTCGGCTTTCACATTATTCTTGAGCCTTTCTATGGCTTTAATTTCCATATGAGTTGCAAACGTGTAAAAAAGAACTACCCTACTAAAACCCTATTTAGGCAAGCATAGAAAGAGGCGGAGAAGAGTGCGCCAGCACTGTCTCGTGTCATCCGGAAGCCCCGTCGTACGCAGCATGGACCGCAAAGATGACTAACTCGGCTGAGTACAAAACCATCAACGTTGGCAGCAGCGAATATAAATATCAAAAATCTCTTTCTGAAAACAATTTCTTCGAAGCATTCTTCCGTCTCGACATGTATCGGAGAAAAAAACTTCTTTTTTAGATACACATTCCTTGTCCATCGTTTTTTTCTTTGTTTTATGTTTCAAACTACTAAAAAAGGGACACATAAAGCACTCAATGCCTTCATAGCTACTGATCGCACATTATCGCGGCAGGTACGATATTTTCAAAGAAAAATACTTTTTGTTTCAGGCTATGTGCAGAAGGACTCTGCGTACGATGCAATGGCACATACCAATGCACATGCACACGAAAAAATCTAAACAGCAAAGTGGGAAAGCTTTGGCACTTGGCTAGCTCACTCCCCTCATCTGTGACATACTTCAGACGTAGTTTCCTCTGAATTGCCGATATCAGCTTAGAGACTCTCTCTCGAAAAAAAAAAACAGATTCTTTCCTTCAAAGTGGACTATTTCATGGGCACAACTTGCCCAAGCAAGTTGTCTTATGTCTGTAGATGATTTGGTAATGATCGAACAAGCAGATGAGATACCTTTATTGAAATCATGAGTGCACCGGTTATTATGCCTCCGTAATCCTTAAGACACATGTTTCTATACTCCATATAATTCTAGCTAGGCAAGATGAAATAAATGACAAGACTAATCATGCAAATTTACCCGCTTACAGTCTGATTGATAAGCTCACTTCCAGAGTGATTGCTCACGATATCTCGCTGTGAGTATCGGTTATCAATCATCATCGTCGTCGTCGTCAGCGGGAACAAAGATTTCGTTCTCCTCTAGGTAAGACGCACCTTTATGGGCAATGTAGCCTCCAAAATATAAAGACGAGATGGCAACGAGAAATAGCTGAAAGAGAAACAGACTTGAGCCATTTGAGAGGACCGTCTATCCAGTAAATGCCAAGAATAGTTATTACGTTCCAAAAATGAAGTTATCACGTCTTTCCGGCTGTTCTTTTCACCCAAAAGGACATGAGAAATTGTATGAAGAAACGGGATGTGCTGGTTAAGATGATACAAAACGCAAATTGCCACTCTGATTTGGAATGTGAATTCAAAACAAAAAATACGATTTAACACGTCACGACTCAAGACTCCTTCCACTACAGGATGAACTGTAAACACAGATGAGTTCGAATACGAAAACCAAGCAAAAGGACCGAATTTTAGCATGGATTTGAAATTCTGCATCGATTTCCTTCCGATTTCCAAAAATAAATTAGAGTATCTGTGGAGAAACTTCCAAAAATTACAAAAGCATGCAGTAGTCTGCGTGATCTGTTGCCAACCAAGATTAAACGAAATACTTTTGTAGTATTCAACGTATACGTGTGCATATATAGGGTTGGCAAAGAAATGTGTCTCCTGTTAGATTGTTAATAACTCTTTCGTCATGCAGTCTTCCAAGAAGCTCATGGTATCATTTTGTAGAGTTGGCTCCAACTTGGATTTACAGTATAGAGCGAATTCTCGTTCTCTCTTCATTACTGTAGGATTACGGTAGAAACTTTGCGGAGAGTTTTGCGCCATTGTGGATTATGTGTTTTACCGCTAAGAATTGACTAAAAACCGGGAACTTCTACACTGGTTAGTCGGAATCGCTGATTGTAAATATGAGACTCGGATTTCACCGTAACGCTCTTCTCATTGGTCATGCCAGATTTACCGCAACAACCGATTTCTGATATCCGTCAAGAATATGTTTACGTCATTTGAAAAGCTCTGCCATAGAAAGTATTTTTTTGAAATCAGCATGCATGAAAACTGCACAATTTTTCACTTTTTTTAAAAGAAGTTATTCGAACGACTGAATTCACATTGGCGCCATATGCTGCGAATTTCTACCGTTCCTATAGTAATGAGGAAGGATCGGTACTTTGCTTCATACTTCAACTCTAAGTGGAAGCCAGCCCTACAAAATGGCAACTAAACCTTCTCGAAAGATTTCGGAGCAAGAGAATCATCAACAACCAAACAGTAGGCACGTTTTTTGGGACACTTTATACGATGGAAAGAAACCGGAAAGTCGCTTCATTACTTGGAAAACATATACAAAAGACAAAGAAAGAAGATAAGCAAAATGACACAAAACACACCCGAAAAAGTACTCCACGGTTGTGCACGGGTCGTAGTCCTATCCCCTTGACAGTAGGAGCGGCGGATTGACCTGGATAATTACCAAAAACTTTCAGTATACACAGTGCGCATCTGCTACCGAGCTAGAGTTACGAGCTTTCGATGACGCTAGAGAGACATTCCATTACAAGACTAGGTTACGCCAAAAGTTCATAAATATGTCCGATGACTTGATTCAAACTCGAGGTAGCATAGCCTCCACAAAACCGCAAGGTAGGGCCTGCTGTAGTCGAAAGCTTATGGAAAACTCTTCGAAAGACAGGATTTGGCTATCGAATAAATAAAAAAATATATACATATCACTCATTCTGTGACCAAAAACAGACACGAGCACGCTTTGCGTACGTCTGATCAGCAAGTTTATGTGTCTTTTAACGCGTTTTGTAAAATTACAATTAGAATTTAGAAAAGAATACGTCCAAATCGCGTTGTTCACAATTTCGAACATGTTCTTTCAAACATCCCTAGTAGCAATTTACCAAACCAGATTGAATCGCACTAGGGTTGTTAAGCAGACGTATGCAAAGGTGCTCGTGTCTTTTTGTCAAAGATTGGATACGTTACAAAACCGTGGCTTGCCGGTCACCGCGGCAAAAAAGCTACACGCGCAGCATTTATGATAACATATCTCTAAAGGATAAATATGCAATATGAAATCATCTGCATGGAGCTTACCAGCACTAGACGCTATTTGGTCGATGTTCTGCACCAACACACGCAAAATTCCTTTGACTGCCGCCTGGATGCTCATTCGTTGCCCTCTGAACATAGAAGGATCAGCTTAGAAGTCTTCTTTAGAGGAAGAACAACTGACGAGCAACACATAAAGAAAACAAATAGACAAATTACGAATTCACAGCAGAAATTCTAGGTGGTGCAGCCGGAAGTGCAGTGCTGTCAGGTATCGATTTCTTTAGCGCAGGGTCAAAGCTTACAATTTGAGCGCGGGCTGTTCAGCCAATCGGTTGTTATAACAACTAATTAAATAGTATCAATACCTTACTCAGGAATGTCCGAACCATCCAACTCACAAGAGAGCGTGTCTTGTTCATAATTCAACCAGCACGCGTTTGCGTAAGATTTCAGGATAAGGTGAAGCATGAGGCTTTTCTTTTTGAAAAGTACCGTTTTTTTCTATGTAATGCCTCCAGAGTCCTATTATACTTCATATGAGGTCTGCAGGGAAATTTTTATATCACAGCCTAAATGGTGACGTCAAACTCCACATTCCACATTATCGGATATTCAGTAGCAAGAACTCAAGCCTCTTCAAACTAACGAGGCAGGTAGAGGACTTATTTGATCTAGTGCACAAAGCACGTGTATAGATAACTATCAGAGTCGGCTGGTAGGATGATAATGAGCGAATAGTTTCGGGGCCTTGGAACGGGAGAGTCATGAGAACTAATCTCAGACTACCCACAGAAATTCAACGGATTATAAACATTTGCAAACGCATATTTGTTTCACAGAAGTTCAGCAGCTACCCCGGAACTGAATGAAAACGAAGACCTCCGCACTTTCCACACAGGGATGAGGGCGGTTGGTTTCCCAGATGTGCCGCGGAACCTCCGGTCAATTGTCTGAGGTAGTGCGACAAAAGCAAGTATGGCCGTTGAAAAACCTTCTCGGAGAGGTAAAACAGACGCACTGACTTCACTCGAGGACAGTGGAAATACTCCACAGGCCCCACACAAACGGCTGTAATCCTAAGAGGTTCAGAAAGCTCAAAACGCTGAAATTATACAAAAAGAGGGCTAAATAAGAGGAGATTTCTTCAAAACCCTACTAGAAAGCGTCATCAAAGCTCTTACTGTAGTTTCACACGATCACGTGGTTCCTTACTGGATTATTCGCGCCAACGTGGGAAAGTTTTGAGATTCTCTCAAATCGCTGTGCTATTTCTTGCATGTTCCCATGCGTTGAGCTGGGAAAGCTGTTCAGACTCCGGTTCGACTTTGCCGGATTTCGGAATTATTCTAACTTGCCCAGCTTCGCGGTATTTTCACAGGTGGGCATTTTTTCTGCCCGATGTTAGAACCACTTTTTCAATCTAATAACTTCCTGCGTAACGAATCCACCACTTTTTTTGTTCACGTGAGGTACTGCAGGAGCTCTGTTTGAGGCAGATTGTTGGTGCAGGATATAATTCCTCTTGTAATGTGAACTGTTTGCAGCTAGTTTGCCTCCATGCCTCGCAGTATGCCACCACCAAAACGTACAGAGCAGGAGAAGTCTACAGAGGTTTTGTTTTACTTGTGATTATGAGTGGTGAACTCTCTCACACAATCGGAAATGACTTCCGGGGGAAAGCGAACTCTGAAGCTTCCGGGGAAAGGCTCCTGATGGACCTTGTGGGTGGGCCTCTTCTTACGTGGCCTCGCACCACCTGGCAGCTCCATTGGGAGTCTTCCCCGGAAGTTTTAGAAGTTGGGATTGTTTAAGCTGTTAATACTAGTTGGAGTCTACAAACTGAACTTAAAATTGCAGCTTGGGTAGCGCATAATGTCTAAATTTGCGAGGTTCTTCGCCGTTTTGTGCGATAGGTTCTCAGCCATGTGTCCGAAAGTTCCGCAGGGCATTCAAACCTGACTACGCTGGCGTCAAAGTCGTGCGTAAATTCCTACTTTCAATGCCCAAAATTCTGTGATAGCAAACAAAATTCCGTGAAACCACGCAAATCTTTCTTGTACTGCGAAAGTACCCGAGGGTTGTCTGTATTCTGGCTGGTTTCTGCAAATCAAGAAAGAATAACTGTTGCAGGGAAATGTCGTTAGAATTCTGCCATGTTCGACTTTTGTGATCAGCAAGCTTAGTTGCCCGAAGCGGGGGTCATAATGTGGAATGACTGCCTTTTGCCTATGGATGACTGATGAAAATAACTTACATCTATATTCCAGCTATTGCGCCTCACTCTCGAGCGCACCGGAATTATGGACACTCTAACTCATCTGCTGAAACACATTGTTGAACTACCTGCATACGAACGTCCTCTGGATCCGCTAAGATTCCTACGTAAGGTGGGCAACGTTGTGGAGACTTTCGAAATTTGCAGGGTAATGATGTGAATATGATTTTTTAGATGTGGAATCCATGGACGTGCAATGTAGTCGCTACTGCTATGAAGAATGCTATCGAAGACATGGCAGAGGAGGTATAAGCTTTTCTTTTCAGATAGCTTAGTCAAACAGTGGGGCTATGAACGGATTTTTTGGTACACAGGTAGCATGGGGCAGCGTAGGGAAGACGGCCTTGCGCTTCCGTGGTTGCTGTTTTTTGATTTTTATGGTTCCCGCTAAGACAGTTGACCGGAAGTTCCGCCAAACATTCAGGGAACCTTCCACATCCTTTGCGGAAAGCGCCAACGAAGGTACCATTCCAGAATACGGACCACAAAAATGGAAAACCTCCAAATTTGCTGAAACTTGGTACATAGGGGTTTTTGGCACGCTAATTAAAGGACTCTTTGCGAGGTTACGGTAAGTGTATGGTATGGGTCAAAATCAGATTTGTATGGAATTCGTTCTAATATGGTTTTTGACATGCTGTGTTTCTATTAATTTCGCGCGGTAGGGCCTTTTTCTCGGGTTACGGTGGCCATTGATGGGTCAAATCAAGATTTGCTCAAAATTTTGCCTAGAGGAGTTTTCAAGAATGATAACGAGTATCATGCTTGCTCGCTGCAAAAACGCCTCATTTAGAGTTACGGTGATTTGCAGCGCAAGAATAGATATTTTCTTCGCTTTTTTGGCTAACTTACAATTAGATCCTGCAAAATTCAGGTAAAACTTTATCATGCGAAATGAGCACGTTATTGTTGACAAGCACATCAGATAACGCTCCCCCCCCCCCCCCGTAAAATTTCAGGCAAGTCTGTCGTTTTGGCCCCCTACCGTTACACCTACCGTAACGGTACAGGGAGTTTTCGCCGAACCCTAGACGCTGTCCAAGGGGAAGAGGGGCGCCCTCTCCTCCCCCCCCCCCTCCCTTCGAGAATGGGTCGCGAAATTTTTTAAAATTTACTTACATGAGTTACAAAAAGGTGCAAGTGGCTCGTTTTATGCTTGTAATTAAAATGACATTTAAAATTTTTTGGAAATTTAAATTAGCCTTGCAAAAAAATTTTTCGGGGCTGGCTGCCGCCGCGCTCCTTTCTTATTTTCAGGTCATGGGCCCGCAAAAAATATGGGAAGCATCCTAAAAAAATTTTCGGAGCCACGCACCTTCACACGAAAAAAATTCTTGGCGCCCCTTCCCCTTACGGAAATCCTGGGACCGCCACTGCCGTATACCTACCAAAACCCCACAAAAAGTCCCTTCAAACGAATGAAATTTTCGTGATCATGTCAAATAACGCCAAAGTACAAAGATTTTAATAAACCGGGTTTTTCGTTTTCTGTTTTATATTCTCGACCGCTGCAGAAGTTTCCTTTTTCGATAAAGGTGGGATCAAGTTTTGCGGAAGTTCCCACTTTGAATCTCAAATTCTGCTTACGATTAGTAACTAGAATCTTTGAAAGCGCTGTATTTTTTTTATCCGGCGGAAGTTCCCGCGGGTTTTATGAGTGTGATGAAACTTATCTATGGAGCGTGCAATATTCTATTCTCAGAATGGAGGCACTACTCCCTCATTCTGTTCTGCTTCAATGTAAAATTGAAACATTAACTCCAGTGCGCTGCAGAGTTATCTCACTGATATAGAGGTAGTTTTGCGCTCCAAGGATAACGACAGAGGACCAGGGGATTCAAAAATTACAAAATTAGTCGCAGAAGCATATGAGAAGCAGAGACAATATAAACTGATTCTATTCCTTCCGTCAAACCCTACGCGATCGTCAGTTTAATTAGTTACATTTAATTGATAGTGGTTTCGGAGCCTGAAATATTTGTCTCTGTGAAGTACGAGCGTGGATGGGGAGGGGATAAGCGTGAGTGAGCAAAAGACCTCACTCATCATAGGTCGTTATAATTTATTGTACACCATTTCAAATTATATTAGGTTGTCCCGAAAGTTTTGTCCTTTTTTTCAAACCTTTATAAAACCACACAATAAACAACTGAATGAGTTTCAACATGCATTCAAGGCAGCTTTTCCTTCTCTTTCTTTCCATTACCTTATTCATTTTCAAAGCGCATTCTTGTATGCTTCTTTTGATAATTGCCAAAATTCTCCACCCTTCAATCTTATCTGCTCAAAGTTAGGCTAATTTTTGAAAATTTCATCCCAAAGTTTCGGAAAGGGTTAAGTATGGATCAAATAGAGCGATTCTCGGACTACAAGGTAACATTTTTAAATTCTCCTAATCTGCTGTTTTTAGCTGCAGAAAATTATTTCTTCGGAGGTTTCGATTTCTGGCAAAGTCATGAAACACGCAACTGCAGCAAATGCATGAAAGCTTTTGAAGTTTCTGCGAATTGAAACATGATTATTAAACATTATTTATGCAATATAACCAAGTTTTTGAAAAAACCTTTTTGGAATTTTTGGTACTTTTGCGTGGTGAACGTAGTCAAAAAGCCGCGGTTTTTATCAAACTAATAATTGTAACGGACATGGTAAACGTGGCCCATGTAATCTAAAGTGGATGCAATGTATTCAAAGTTTTGCTGTACATAACGGTTATCAGCGCTCTTTGAAATATCAGGATAAAAGTTTTTGAAATTCAGGAAAGATTTGGCGTCACTGCTAAACTGCTCAAAAACCGTGGCGATATCATTGCAAAGACAGGGTAGATCAGAGAGCAAATATAGCTCTAAGAAAGAGGATAAAAATCTGAGTCAAGTGGTACCTAAGTACTTCCTCTTTGAAGGCACCGTCCACTTAAATTGAAAATAAAGAATTTTCAATTTATATAACAGAGGCTCCTAACTTAGCAACGCCCAAATCTCGCTGCAAAAGAATATTTCTAAAGCAAGAAAACAGCTCCGGAAGACAGTAGCGCCACGCTGGCTGGCTCCGCCCATCAACGTGGGTGGTCTGAAACGGCAAGTTCAAACTTGGGCTTTGATGTATCCAAAATTGTCTCCCACCCTTATGATCATTAAGTTTCTACCTTATTTCAACGCCGCAGCAGTTTCCATATCTTTAGACCACCCATGTTGTTGGGCGGAGCCACCCTGGCCTCCTCTACCTTCTGGAGCGGTTTTCTCACTTTGAAATTCATTTTTTTGCACCGGGACTTGGGCGTTGCTAAGTTAGGAGCCGCTTTTTCATAAAACATCAGAATCTCACTATCCTCAGTTTGTTAGACTGTGACTTTAACGAAGTCACGCACTGCCACAAATTAGACCAGTTGTGATCATTTGACATAAAGAATGTAGAATTGGTATTTGCTGCGCTAAAAGAAGCCTTTTGCTAAAGTTACAGTAGGTGTACGGCAACAAATTGATATATTGACCAAAGTTATGGTCCGGGACATGGACTGATCACAAAACTGGTGATCATTTTTAGTGTTGATTTTGGAGTCACTGTAGGAACACTGCGGGTCGCATTTACGCACAATAAGGCGTCATTTGAACCAATGTCTAGGCGATTCAAGCACGCACAGACGGGACGCGTTGCGTCCGACCAAAGTAGTTCGTGCACTGGAGAGACAGAAGACGGCAAGAGCGGTGAAAGAGCGCTTGATTAGCGAGACGCCGACAGCGTCCGTAGTGACGCCTTGTCTTTACCAGATTCGGAAATTTCATTTCTTGTCTTCTTCACCTAAGATAATCTATGAAAACGCAAACAGCTTAATAACGAGCTTGAGCAAAATTCCTAAGACATTTTGGGCCCAGCTAGCCAAATAGTGCCGAAAAGAATGTTACAATGTGCACAAGGGTTTCAGACTTCTATCTCTTCTTTTATGATTATATTTTGACTATATCTTTCACTTTCAGCTCGCTGAAGAGAGAAAGCTTCACGAAGTACTTAAGCGAACTATTGACGAAGCCGAAACAGCTCTACTGAATGCAAAGATTGCTGCTCTGAATGCTTCTGTGGAAAGTCGCAGGGAAGTTAAACCAGTTGAAGAGATGAACCCCACTGACGCTTCGGATGAACCAGAAGGTAGCTTAGCTTGCGTCCCATTCGTAGGTCTCCCTTTTGACTTCAACCCTAGTGTCCCTCCACCAAACATTGTTATGAACAATTTTCCCGTTCCCCTTCCTTTTCCTCAGTTCCCGGTTGCTCCTTACATGCCGTTTGCACCTATCAGCCATATCGACTGTGATCCTCAAGGAGTGATGTTAATCCCACAACTTTTTTGAGTTTTTCAAGTATTCATTTCTCATTTTTGGTATGCATACCTAACCGGATTTGTTTTTGAGTTCCCTTTTTCGAAGTGACCCTGTATTCTTTCTGTATCATGTTTTCGAGTTTCCTTTTGCGAAGTAGCCCTGTATTCTCTCTGTATCACTCTTGTCATCAATTTATGGATAACATCCCTTTTTGCTCTAATTCCCTATGCTGCCCCTAAATCTAGAATTATGGCTGTCGCTCAAAGTGGCTTATTGAGTTATTATAATCATTTCGCATGGTTGGGGTTTGCGAGGTTACGCTAGGCGTATGAATGCGAAATTTCGAGAATTTTGGAGAGCTTTGCGTAGAGGTTTACTAATGCACATCACCAATAGAAAATGCATTCGTTATAGGGCTTTAGTGCTGGATTAGGGGAAAGCCCCTATCATGCATAGGGGCTCTACCTTTAGCTCAAATCAACGAAAAATTCATGATTGCGGAATGAGTTCTTGTGCACACTAAATGATCTTCACATCTCAAATTTCAGCCAGGTGCTAGTTTTGACCCTCCGTGCACCTACCACCCTCAAGAAAAAACCTCACGGACGTTTTGAGTGCCATAATTGTTATAGGTAATTGCTTGCATGTTTGATAACTCGATAGGCCAAGTCCGAGCAGAATCCGTGATCTTTGAACGTTAAGGTGCAGATGACGAATGAAGCTCTTCATGTACATATAGGCGAGCATCTTTGCTACTCGGGTCTTGAAGTGTCAAAATCTTAGTTCTTCCAGAATTTTTGTAAAAAGGGTTGTAATATTGACGCGCTCATCAACACGATTCATTCTGATGGGCAGTACCTTTTATGGGATTACACTAGGTTTGATCTAACAATGAGTCAAAATCAATTTGCATGAAGTTTCAAATCAAGCTTTCACGGTAATCTTTGATATAATATTATTTTCAAAACGTCTTTTCCCAGATGAAAGACTGTGGTATCCTCGTGAAAGATAATCTTATATTAGGACATTTCTGGAATTTTTGGGCTCGAATACAAGAATGCTCGCTTTGCGTTGACGAACCATTGGAAGTTTTATTTTGTGTAATGGTACATTGTTTTAGGATTGCATGTATAAAGTGTCTTGGGCTAATGAAGTTTTAGACAGAACCAGCAATGTGAAACATCGATTTTGAGTGCTAACTAGGAAGCCTTAGAAGGTTTTGAATGAAAGGTTGAAGAAAGCACGAAAATAAGCATTTTAAATTTTGATAACGGGCGTCTGGCGTGGATATGATTTAACGACGGTGTTCCACCTATAGCCCACAGCAGTTCGGAAAAGGATATTCATAGTCATTCCTAAAGACTACAACAGATGTGCTGTTTTAAAGCTTGGTTTCCTTAGCAACTATCAGCTGAAAAAGTGCGCTGTGATGACTAGAACCGATTGAAATTCATGCTAAAAAAATTGCGGAATTTGCGGCGCTGTTCCAGCATCCGAGCCCCAAAATTTTTTTGACATGGATTTTGCTGAAACTTGGCCCAGGGGGATTATTCGGTCATTGGTTTTGTACCGTAGCGTCATTTTCTCGGGTTACGGTACACGGTAAAGGCTCAAAATCCCAGAATTCGCTGAAACTTGACCCAGGGGGTTATTCGGCCTGCTGGCGTTGAATATCACGTTGGTTTTGTACCGTAGCGTCATTTTCTCGGGTTACGGTGGGTCGGGAGGGGGTCAAAATCTCAAAATTCGCTGTAACTTCGCACAGACGGATTGTTCTACATGCTGGTTAGAAATATCACACTTTCTCCTCACAAAAACGTCTCCCTGCATGGTTACGGTAATTTTACGGTAGGGGTCAAAATCACGAATCGACAAATGCGTCCTTCCCTGTACTTTGCTTAAGCAAAAGCCGCAGGGGGGTGTGTAGCGCGCGGTTGCTCGTGTATGCAAAACTTTACGATCGTCCGAATCGCCGTACACCCGTTTCAGGCAGAACTAGGTTTTCCACCCGTTACCGTGTACCTGCCGTAACTTAAGAAAATGACGCTATGGCACAAAACCAAGGTGATATTTGGTATCAGCGGGCCGAATAACACCTGAGTCAAGTTTCAACGAATTCTGGGATTTTGACCCCTTACCGTATACCTGCCTTAAAGGCAGTGTCCGGGCAAAAACTCGATTTTAAGATTTTGTGTTTATACGGGCCTATTCGCCATGCTGAATCCGAAAATCCACATTGGAAAGCGCGAAAACGGCGAAAAAGGGCTCTAACACAGGAGGGAAATCAGCAGGTGGGCGGGGCTTTCCCCAGTGCGATTTCACGCTCCCAGCTCCCGGAGCGATTTTCTCGATTCCGCTAGCCGTCCTAACATCGCTACCGGCCAAGTGCAAATGATTGACTTGAAACCGGAAGCGAGAATGTCGCTCCGGAAGCCGGGAACGTGAATCTGCAGTGGGGAGGACCCCGCCCACCTGCTCATTTCCCTCCTGTGTTAGAGCCGTTTTTCGCCATTTTCGCGTTCTACAATGTGCATTTTCGGATTCAGCGTAGCGAATAGGCCCAAGTAAGCACAAAATCTCAAAATCGAGTTTTTGCCCGGACACTGCCTTTAACCCAAAAAATGACGCTATGGTACAAAACAAATGTGATATTTGGCATCGGCGGGCCGATGTGGGCCAAGTTTCAGCAAAATCCATGCGGAAAAAATTTTGGGGCCCGGATGTTGGCGTAGCGCCGAATTTGCATCGCGATGGATTGAAGCAAACGGAGATGAAATCGAAAAAACCGATTTGAAAGACTGAAGCAAGCTGAAGCTTTTCAAAACTTGCTAGTTCATGGCATCTCATTAGAAAATGTGACCTTATAGGAAAGCACGTAACTCTTCTTTTGCCCTAGAATACTCTTGAGAAGGATCGTGCTGTTCAGTTCTTCTCTTTTCGAATTTAGGCCATGGCGTTATAACTGCGAGATGTTACCGTCTCATCCTCAGGCATTGATACGGCGAGGTTGTTTGCTTTAGGGAAATTATGCTTTCCTTCATGGTAAAAAAAACTCTTACAGCTGTGCAGGTTTCAGGGATGAGAAGTCAGTGGTAGATAATTGAAGCTTTATTGTATGCACTGTTGAAGCTAGAAATCAGAAACAATGGCAAGGAAAGATATTACAAATTCAGATCTAGTGAAATATTGCACAGATCACAAAAGAGAAATTTTGCAGTTTGAGAAGTACCATAACCACCAGCAAACAGCATTTAACTGTAAACGCCATTACAAAGTTTTTACGTGAACAATAGATGTAGATCAATAGACACAATACAACGGTACCAAAAGCTGTCTATAACAGTAAACAAAAAATGGAATTGGAGAAGCAAATCAAAAATTAGTTTGCCGTATAGCATTCGCAGTATTCCTTTCACAGCTCATTTTCGTCTTCCTTCTCTGCAATAGAAATCCTCATTGTACGACTAAATTAATTTAATTACGCGATTTTCGTGATGGAGGCACATTCACAACAACATTAGTACTAATAAGGAGATTTTCCAAGTTCGAGTCTTTCGAAATTGCCTAGAAATAGCAAGTTATTTGTATGATCTGGCTCGAAAATTTTTCTAACAGTTCCATTGACTGTGAGGTCTCCTGAACAAAACTCCTGAATAACCTTCACGTTTTGAAAGTGTACAAGGTTGAGTCAGCAATGAATAGTCTGCAAGAGGGGATCAAATTCTCAGCCAGTTATCGAAATCAAAGCGTATTGTTTATTTTGCTCTTATGCACTAGTACCTCTTCAAAAAGAGCATAACAACTATTCGATGACAGTACCTGTTCACTAAAGTTTACCTTGCGTTAGACATAAGTTTTCCAAAAAGGAGACTTTGAAGATTCAAACGAGTCATCGCTATGTAAAACCTAGTCTTGTTTATGAGGGACACTGTGAATCCTAATGTTTGGAAAGAAATAAGCTAATGCACAAATGAGATTCTTGCCACCTAATTCGCAAAAAAAGCGGAGAAAACTTGTAAGTTTGAATAAGTCCGCTTTTGACTAGTTTTGTGAAAGTGGGAAGCTTCTATGAAAGGCAAATAGATTACTGTACCACCTGAAGGTACAGACGACGCGATGGATTGATTAATTTGAACTTACCTGAACTTTCTACAGATACCGTTGTTATCATCACACTGGTAACCAACAGGACATACAACTTCGTTGCAGAGATTAGGACTAGGCTTCAATGGCATATCATTCACATACACATAAGCTTGTTGATATGAGTATGGATAGAATAGCTTACTAACCGTAGTACCAGGAATGCGGAAGGGTCGGCAGATACCTAAACTGTTGATAAATAGACGCTGACCAGGCTAGGCCATATAAGGGTAGGGAGACTACTTCCACGCATTTCTGCGACCATTGGTCCTTTTGCATATGCTACTGCGTACCGTCTGAGGAACAATAGTCCGCCGAGACGGTGCGTAAAGGAGAGAATCGCCCCTTTAATCAACAAACTAACCAGTATTGCTGTCACACATTGTTCCCATAGTACAAGTGCCACATGGAATTTGAGCATCAACGTTGTCGATGATTCGGAATGGACGACAAATCCCTGTGTTCGAATCGCACATCGTTCCTCTGGGGCACACACCGCACGACAATGCCAATGATTCGCAAAAGCATTGGCAGAAGCATTGGACCTCAAACACAGTCACAGTTGTTTGTCTGAATGACCAAACTATTCCATTTTGATAGAACACAGTATCCGCCTCTGTCGTAAGGATATTTCAAGATAAAGTTGTTGACCTTACAAGAAATGCATCTTCATGTGACCTTTTCAGATGGGATGTATACTGTATTGAAGGGCATAAAATGCTGATTCCATGTCTGCCTTCCTTGTCTGCAGAATGTTTATGGAAGAGGAGTTAGCGTTTATTGGAGTAAAAAACTGAATGTGCAAGTAGGAGAAAATAGCTGTAATACTTTTTCTAACTCTTCAATAGAGCAATGATGATCATCAGAGTACTTTATTCAAAAAATACTTTAAAACAAAAAACATATCACACTTGCATTATTTGAGGGCTAGCAACTCACTTTATCCAAAATGGCATTCAATTTTTGGCTCCAAAAACGCTCGCAACTCCTGTCCATAAACGTTCTACAGATAAGAAAGGCAGATTTGGAATCAGCGTTTTACCCTTTTGATATGGTGTACATCTCATTTAAAAAGGCTACTTCGACTGAACAAACCTCCCTTGTTAGGTCAAAATTTGTTAAAAAATCACCCCGAATGCTGGCCAGTGTTATAAGTTTACTTCATGTTTTAAAGCATAACAACAATCATTGATCGATTTTTGACTTGCTTTGTAAACACTGAAGTCTAGTTCAAGATTTTGCAAAAAAATCAATAAAAATTCGCGTTTCAATGTGTCTTCTGCAAGATCTGAAGCAGAGACGTTCTGAGAGCCTCCCCCTCCCCTCTCCCACCCCTCTCTAGGTCGCGAAATTTTTAATGATTATGGTCTACATGAGTTATTGAGTGCAAATGTCTTTTTTACCAGTGAATATTTGGTATAATTTTTCATATCTGCGCTTTCTTTGCAGAGGTCACGTCCCCCTTCTCAATAATTCTGGAGCCACAAGCCCGCCTAAAAAGTTGGGAAGAGTCTCAAAAGGTTTTGGGAACCTCTTCAATCGAAAATTTTCAGTCTCCCCCTACCCCTTCCGCCCAAAAAAATCTCGGAACCTCGCGGAGCTATTACCACTGTTTCAGAGTCAATCACAATTTTGGCATGAGCTGATACCAAACCCTTGCCGCCAGCAAAATCGTGTGAAAATCATAATCTTTGGTAACAAACTGTATGAATCGAAAAGGCAGCAATTCTTATAGCTTCTTAGCGAGGGGTGTGCTTGTTAAAAAAATCAACTCTATAGACATTTTTTGCGCGAATGAGTAGATTTTTTCAAAATGCATCAGGTCCTAATCTTTGAAGCTTGGTGAAGGGCAAGTGGATTCAAATAAAGTCGGTATTTGAAAAGTTGAAGTTGAAGCGGATTCGTGATCATTTCCCGCTAGGTAATGTTTTTCAAATGTTCATGTTTTTCTCAAGTGACCTCTGAAACTGGGGATATTTGTTTCATTCAATGACAGTGAGTTTCAAGAAACGTAGATGTTCCATTGACAGCTAAGTAAAATACTTTATTTCTGAGGAGGTGACTTACGAGGACAAGGAACAGAAGGAGCATATTCGTGGATGTCGCGGGCCTACCACAAAGACGACTGTGCGCTGTTTGCTCCCGTCTGAACTCAAAGCCAGTTGATTGACTCACTCTTCTATTATGCTCAGACAGTAACAGATACCTACCTTAATGAGTCATCGATTTTTTCTACAAGTGACATAATAGCAGAGTGAATAAGTGGTCGAAAAGAAATTCGTGTCTGTATTCGATACTTTTGAACTTCTCGAAAATCACTCCCGATCGCTTTGCCTTAGCAGATTAGCAAACAACTCTTGCACACGCACAAACGCAAATCCTCGGGTAGACTTTGCGAACGATGTAACTACTTACGAGCAAACATCGTCTGGTATAGATGAACATTGGCTGTAAACATGCCAAGTCTAAACAACTAATAGTGGGCACTTTTTTGCTGTAATACTTTGCCTTATTTGAAAATCAAATATGTGCTCTTAGGAAGTGGTCAAGATAATGGAGAGAAGAACGAATCTTCACTAAAAGTCAATTTTCACATCCTTAGTTTTCACCGAAAATGTTTAGTGAGATAAATGTTCTCACCCGAAACGATGGTCAAATAAACTATGTGGTAATCTCCATTGTGTCTGCTTTGCTGCTTTCCTGTTAGTACGCTAATTCTTTTCTCACTCACAATATCTTACTCTTTTGCATTCTCTTTTTTAAATCTTTTTCATTTCCTGGCTGCTTTGGTCGCTTTTGACAAGGGTACCAAGAAGACTGCACTAGACTGCACAGGTTAAGGTCTTAGCCCCGCAACGGTGTAGCGAACAGATATGGAAACTAAGAATTTCTTGTTCTTTTGCTGCTTCATATTTTTTGATTCTCCGACCCTTGTGTTAAACAGGGTGCGTCAAAAGACTGGGAGCTGACACCGTGTTGTAGATTATAGAACTACTCATGATTTTGATTCCACATTTGCCACATAATGCTGCGATCATTCTCTTCAAATCACAATTTACCTGGGTGAAAATGCTTGCCATACGCTCTTGGAAGAATTGGATTTATTAAACAAGTGCTTATGCGGAGCGAAAAATTTAAATTTTTAGTGTTAACATTTTACTTGTAGTTAGAGATGCCTTGAATATTTCGCAATTCTTTGATGCATACATATTAGAAGAGGCTTTACGCTATCACATCGTAGTTGCGTTTGCCAAAATTTGTTCTTTCAAAAACCAAAAATTAAGGTTTGCGAATGTTACCTGCCTGCCATTGGTCATCTGTCTTCTGGTCATCTGTCTTCTGAACAAATTTGAAAGCTATAGAAGCGCAGCAAGCACTGAGCCCTAGGCTTCTTTCTATAAGCCTTATATATAAGCACCCGGTTGAATTCAGTCAATGAATCAATTTGGTACGCCTTACGTTATGATTTTCCGCTTCTCTTCGGGCAAAGGCATCCGAATTTCCAGCATGCGAGTACACTTGCCTTCACTCAAAATTCCAAAATTTTTATTTCTAAAACTGAAAAATCTTCGTGCAAATATGTTGTAGACAAAAGTTTGCTCTATCCTGCTGCACATTTGCTTAGTGAAAGAAGGTTTCGTGAAGGCGTTGGATAAATCTTATTAAGACTACCTGCGTGCCACGACAGGTGGACTTGCTAGGATTTTGAAGGGCTCTTCAAAACCAATAAAGACAATCTCAAAATTTGAGAGCTGCGCTATATTTGCAAAGGTTCGAATTATATGTGCACCAAATTTTTGTTTCTAGCTACTTTCATTCTGATTTTATCTGAAGAAGTACTAGGCTCCCAGACTTTTGACGCATTCTGTATAGCCGCATGTAAGGCTTATTCAATTTTTTGAGATCATTGGCTGCTACCGACTAGTTAAACAATATCGCATGCTTCGTTTGCTAATTATCTGGTTTTTTTTCTAGATGCTCCCAGGAGCTGCCTTGCTGTTAAGCAGCTTACATACTCGTCTCCTCTTGGTCCCTGTATACTACACATCTACTATTTCCCTGTTCCCCATCATGGAAGCGCTGAGTCAGTGAACTGGTCAAAGCAGCCGATGATTTACTCAGAAATTGACATGCACCTCAGTTATTCATCTCTATTTACCAATTTCAGTTCTAGTTCAATTCCAAAGCCTTTTCAGATATGCCTAATTGTCCCATCACAGGAGTCTTACACATGAAGAGAAGTTCATTGTTCCTTTCGTTGAATACTGCGCAGCTAAGTAATAGATTTGAGATTAGCATTACAAGCTGATTTCGGACAGACATGTCTTATCTTGGTATCTTGTCTTTCTTGTATTTTCACATGAGCCACCTTAGCTTGAGGACTTCCCTTAAATGGGTATGTCATGTTCAGGCCACAGCACAAATTTCTCTGTTTTACCTTGTTTGCTATTTTCATATCTTCGTCTGAGCCGCATGTGCTGGCTTTCAGAGATCCCTTTCATAGAGTTACACCAAATTATTCCGTTAGGTCTACCTACATAAATTCATAATTCATAAAACCTCAGCACGTGTTTTATTGCGTAACCTACGCGAATTTTTTTGCACAGAAACTCGGAGTAAAAAGTTTAGAGAACAGGTCTTTGGCACCAGGATACTCTCTGCCTTTGCTATTTTCTCATTACTGTGAACAAAGAGACTTCATTCTCTCTTCATAAAAAAGCACGATGAGTTGAAAGGTTCATCGAAAACAGTCTTAAGAATTGATTTCCTTCGTCAATAACGGAAAGTAGGAGCTTGAAAATTCTGCGTTTTTTATGGCAAGGAAAACCATTGTATAGATTCGGATAAAATATGACAAATTCACAAGCGGACAAAAATCTACGAAATGTTCACCGGCATTTTCACAATATGATTGTTAACAAACAGAACACTAACAAAACATTAATCTTCGTAAAATACTAAATTATTACAAGCATTTTGAAGAACTGAAGTATATTTGTGATTTGACAATACCGGAACCTGTTGATATGTATGCGATAAACACATGAGAGTACTCGAGATGAGGTAGTCAAAGACTGCACTTCCAACTCAGGCCGCGTTCACCGTCGATTTGCCGTTGATTGGAGTGGTCTCTGTCTTCGTTCCCTGCAATAGGATCTCAAAAGCACTTCTTTCCAGACTGAGATTTAATTTTGATGGGGGTGTATGCCAAGATGAACGATACCGGCACATAATCATACTGTAGCTTTACGGTTGCCAATATGCTGCGCATATACTCTCTTTTTTGACCAGTATGTTCCTCGTAGGTTTGAAAACGGTGTCGTAAGGTATGAATTAGGGCCTATCAAGCTTCTAGCGTTTTTTCAAATTCTTGAGACATCACAGCGTGAATATAGAACTTGAAAAAGATTTGACCTACGCAACGCACTGCCCCCATTTTGATGCTTTCAATAGCGAGCTCTATCGCTGCGAAAAGTGTATCCCGAGGTATTATCCTAGAAAGGGGATGCTGCTGGGTTCGCCACGCCTTCATCAACTTGGGCGGCCTAAAAGCACAGATGATGACCACAGAAAGTAATCCCAACATCCTTCGATACAGGGACACTTTGTCGGTGAGCCATAACAGTTTAAAAAAAAGAGCGTTGATGCGCAAATTCACTACGTGTTGATCATCACGATCATCATGTGAAACCAGAAACGCGACATCCACCTTGGATACCCTCGAACATTTTTTCAACACTGCGCATCACAAAGAAAAGCGGACTCAGTGAGCAAAGTAAAATTTGAAAGAATAGAAAAACAAGCAATCATGAATAGCTATGCACGCAAGACGACTCTGAAAGAAAGGAAGAAACGAAAAAGAGACACATGGCTTTCGCAGCGTTTGCATGTAATGGCTAGGATTAGATACCATAAGAACGATTTTTTCAATTTTATCAATAGGGTCGTAGTCAGCTTCGAGCCTGAAGGCTCAGATTTGAACAGTTTGAGCAAATTTATTTTTTGGTCGCAGATAAAGTAACTCCACAATACGAGTTTACTCTTCTACAAACAGCTGAATCTCCCGTGTAATCTATATGTACCCAACCAATAACTCATCTGCGCATTCATTTCCAAAAAAGAATAGAAATGAAAGTACAATCTTTTCTTGAAAGTGGTTTGTTCGGAAGGCAAGCTATATCAAAACCTGTTGGTGCTCTCTCATAAAGGGGAAGTTCTGACTCAGATATGGAATATGTAAAATGGTTTTATAGTCCTTTCACTGAAGAAATAGCCTTAATTATTTTTCAAGGATCTCAATGCATGTTAAAACGAAACTACTCATATCTACATGCTCCAAATCTCTGTAATAGCTTTAGCTCCGCAGAATCTTTTATGCTTTAGTAGTGAAGTAATGTGAAAATCACATCTTCTTACAGTGCCGCATAGCAATCCGACCAAATAGCACCAAGGTACTGGAGGAAGGAGAGGGGGTGGAGGACAACCCTACAAGGCCGGTGAGCCTGATGTATCATAATGGCGAACAGTAGTAATATTCATGCATAAGAATGACTGGAGCTGCTTCAATCTTCAATGCTTAAGAACTTGTGGCCAGGAGACATAGCATTTTTAACTTCTATTCCTAGCCCGCAGTAATTTTTGAAAAGACTATTCAAAACGGGCAACGAAACTGCGCTTAAGCTGCCTTCACCTGACGCGTACTTTTGCATGATAGTGCTGATGACCACATGCTTACGTAGCAAGAAAATCGGAGTTAAACTGTTCTAATTGATGTTAATACAATCGCATTAGATGATGAATGCTCATGTTGCAACAATCAACGAGATTAAGTCCGGAAAGAAGGTAACGACGTTTTCGCGTAAAAAACAGCGAAGCTGCTTCAAAGCAGCTTCACTATTTTTTACGCGAAAAAATTGGGTATGTATAGAATACAGTAGTAACGGAGAATATGTATTTTATCGTTTTCTTTGACTTGCGTTAATGAAATGTAGATGCTCACATTCAAAGCATGAGGCATGGGATCTAAGCATCTATAGGTCACTAAGCCAGACAAAGAAAACAATAAAATAGCGCCTTTCCTTTCATTCATCCCGTTAGCCTGAGATCTTCACTTCCCCTGTTATACGTCTTTAGTAAAAACCGTCTTGATGAAAATTTATAGACCTCACAATTTTCTATGCATTTCGCTTTTTGTGTGTTAGTCATGAATTTAGGTACTGATAACTTTGGTTAGAGACAACAAAAATATTATATGCTTGAGCAATACCATTTTTCTTGGAAGGCTAAACATTTTAGTAACCTTCTCTATTCCTTCTGACCATCTTTCTTCTGTTGTATACACCATTCTAAATGAAAATCCTCTTTGAATAACACATGTTTTCTTAAGAGTTTCAAGTCCAGAACAAGCTAAATTGTATAAGGTACGTGCTGCAAATTTTGCAAGTTTCGAAAGCCCCACGCATTCTGCAATGCTGCATCGCCCTCATCGATTAAGAAGGCAAAAGAAGGGAGCAAAGATGTGTACCTGGATAAGCCATTGCTCCATGCTCTATCAAATAACATTCAGAGATTTGCGCTGTTCTGTAAGTAGTTTAGTATTTGTGAGGTTTGAGAAATAGGGTGATTTGAGCTACAAGGAGAATATAGCTAGAATGGCGCATTTTCGTTTCTTAGGGGACAATGCGGAACAAGAATGAAATAGCTTAAGGAAAAATATCTGTGACTATAAAGCTGAAAAAAGCACCCTCACCCTTGATAGAAGACCGTTTCTTCTTGATTGTATGATTGCCTTTATGATGATATAAGTCATACTTGCCACAAAAAGTATGGCAAGTAAAGTGTATAGCGCGATAAGTTCGTTGGAGAATAGCATTGCTGAAAATGTAGAGGTGAGATTGTTCTGATTGTGAGAAGTTTGTTGAAAAGCTGCAAACCTGAATTTTTCTTTGTTAGATTAAACTCGTCATGGTCGTCATCTTCCGAAGGCGTCATCGCCCTGAAAGTTCAACTTGTTGTGGTAAAATGATCAGGAAAGGTGGTTTTTGATACGAATGATGACTTCAAGGTGAAGAGAGGAATCTGCAGAACAACACTATTTTGGATTGATGGACAAGAAAAAAATACTTCTAAATGGACTAGAAGACTGAATGAGCAAATAAGTCAGAACCTAGCAATGATAGGGAATGTTTCCAGGTCTTATGTGCCCTAAGAGCTAAGGCATCTAAATACCTCATTACCCGAGGGAAGAGAAGATCGATGGCGAAACTCTTGCAACAATCTTGATGCCGTAATGAAGAATGCACATAGAATTTGTCTCGAATCTCAATTTCAAGTGTTGCTATCGTGAAGCACATGGAATAAAATGTTAGACGAGATTCGAGCGTGTCAATTGTCGGTTAGCAAACAAAATTGCTAGCATCTCATGTTGCTGACGATGAGAACTTCGATGCGAGCCCGCGCTCTAGGAGAGTGTGGTTTATTGATGATGTAGGGGAGGAGGTGTGAGTCTAGTGACTGTCATCTGTGAGGGCATTAATCTTTCTAACTTTTTACAACAAAGTTGCAGGCATCAAAGCAGTCTTCAGACATTTTTAGATGTAAAAAGAGCACAGAATTTGTTGAGAAGGTTGCAGAGTAGTTTGAGCAAATTGGAAATCTTGAAGGTCTGGCGTATCTCTAAAAAACAAGGCAAAGGCTAGCACCAGTATCAGGTTAAAACGTAAATTTTGCACCAAAAAGTCCGAAATATCCATTTGAAAATTTTTTATTTATTTATTTATATACTGAAGATGCTCAGAGCAGCGTTTCAATCTGTAAAGCACTTTTCAATTGTACATTAAATGCAGTATTTTATCCTATACATTAGGTTTGTTTCAAGCAACTTCAAAACTCGAAAATAAATAATCGAAAAATGAACTCGGAAAAATGTCCTATCAAATATCGTCTCATTGTCCAGCGCAAATGAGCCAATAAAGCCCAAATCAAGTGAAAAATTAGAAATTTCTAGGCCTTTTAGAGTTCTCGAGAAAGTTGGAAAAACGCAGTTTGAGTGTTTGCCCCAAACGAGTTCTGCTGCCGCATTAGCGCAATGATGATTATAGAAAATATTTGGAAAAATCGAGGTTTTTTTCTTTTTGGTCTATATTAATTTGAGCAGATTTATCGAATATGGAGGAGATTATGGAATTTTGAAAATTTTGGTACAAGACTTATGTTCCAGCCTAATAGCAAAAATTGCGATACATTTTTTTAGGAGAGGTGCTTCGCAAAGCGCCGTGCCACGACGATAACTAGTTTACAGAGTGAAGCAAAGCGAAAAACGTGTAAAGCTCTTCACCAACTCTCCCTCACACATTAATCAATCCGAACATCTGCTAAGCTACGAGTAAAAAAGAATCAGCTCTCGAGACTACAGACTGGACAGAGCATGGCAAAGGGCAAATTGCTCCGGGAGACTGGTTGCACGCCAACCGCAATCGATGCATGCGTGTGGTTATTTACCAACACTATGGCTCTTCTCTTCAGCGAAGTTTCATGATGTTTGTTGCGCAGATCCATTACCTAAGTACATTGGTTGTCACTCACCCTCTTTTCGCAATCGAGGAGAAAATAGAATTGTTTTCGGTTCCCTAATGCGCTTTGAAAGGTGCGAGGATGAGCGCAAAAAGGATCTCTGCGTGAAAGTTTATAAGTGAAACTTCAAATGCGTTCTTTTGAGTGAAAGCCATGGTGTAAACTGTTGAATCGAAAATCCATTCCGAAAACTTAATAGAGGAAAGAGGCTCAATGAGAGTCGGTGCAAATAAGTAATGAATAGTGGGGAACGGATATGCCTACCACATAAGTCTTTGAGATTGGATGATCGGTCATTAGGTAGGCCCATAAGTCCTGCACGATGTAAAAAAAAATTCGTACTAAAAATACATATAGGTTGTTAGTTTTGCCAGAAAAACTTTGAAAAAATCGTTTTGATGAATAAAATTTCATTTTATGCATTTTTTAAACATATAAAATTTTGGAGGAACAAAACCGAAATGTCAACTGAAAAAGTTGAGAATCATCACCTTGCTTAGATAAATCGATCAGCAAGAGATCTCACATTACGTCACAATTCCGCAATCAAAATTAAAATTAAATTTTGTGCATTTTTGGTACTGAACATGTACGACAATTTAACTGTTTCTGTTCATCATGCTGAATCGTTGCGATACGCCAATATAGATTTCTGCTGAAAGGACCTCCAAAAAGAGCATTATTTTAATGTGAGCTATGTTAAACCAGGCGAATTCAAAAAGAAAAATCACGATTATTGAAAAATTCTGGACGATTCAACGACCAACCCAATATTTCAGATCTGCTTTGAAAATCAGAAGTTTTTGTGAACTTAGACTGAAGTGCGCTGCCAAACTACCCTATTGCCGTCTTACGATCGCATTATCCGTGAGAGAAGGAAGCATGCGTGGGAATTTCCCTCAGTTGATGTTTTTGCAGTTTTTTATGTGTTGAAGGGATCGAAGAAAAGTCAAAGCATTTACAACGTGATTATTGCTGGGAACCAGATTTCAGGAATCTACGGGAATTTACTTTCGCGAGGGTTTCAGTAATAACTTGTTAATGTCCTCATTGCTTTACAAGAACTACAGTTTCTTATACAAATCACAGCTCTTCTTTACCGCTCAATAAAACAACGGATAGATAACGAAAAGACAAAATATGTAAGAAAAGACCTCTCTCGATTAAGATCAAGACGGTGCCAAAGTTTGTGCCGTTTTTAGGACTATTCGCAAACCTATTAAAATGAAGATAGACAAACATGGTCAAAAGTGTTCGACGCAGAATTTCTTCATCATTCATGTTTCCAAAGTGATTCTTTTAGCGAGCGTTCAGATAATTGCTGGATTTCAAATCATGATTTTTATTAGATTGTCTGAATCTCTGACTTCCAATTTTATTACATACTTTTGGAGATGAGCTTGACTGTCCAGTAGATGTAACCTTTTGCAGTGCGATGCTTCTGTCGCATCTCTACAGCTGTCCTTGGCTTGGAAATTCAAAGTTCCAAAACTTGCTCATTACTGAGTCAGATTCTGAAAAGTCAGAGAGCGACCAAAGCTTTGAAATAAATTGTTACTTACAAAAGAAGGGTACTAAGCAGAGTTACTATGTGAGTTGTACACTACCCCATAAAGCATGGAACGCTGATTTCAAATCTGCCTTTGATATCTGCAAGGAGCTTTTGGGAGGGGAGCTATGGGAGTTTCTTGAAGCAAAAGTTTGAACGCATGGCTAAAATTAAGTCATTCAGAACTAAGTCTGCGAGCTCAAGTGGGGTCATTACTGCCAGGGCGCTTCATGCAATTAATAGTAGCTTTAGCCTGATAAGGTTATGCTAGTTATTACTTCTTCCAAGCCCCAGAAACAGCTCAACACCTGTTTAACCTCAGCCAAACCCTTGAATGTTTGCCTTAAAAAATTCCCATGGCCCCCTCCCAGAAGGGCTCTGCAGATAATGAAGGCAGAATCGGAATCAGCGTTCTGTGCTCTATAAGATAAAGTACAGTTTACCTGAAAACTCCACTTCAACCAAGTATTCATCCCTTGTTAGATATCTGGTACTACCATGCCAAACCGCAGAATAGAAAGAGGCAAATTTCTCGCGAGAGATGAATAGGGAGTACCGAGAAGTCACCAAAAAATATATTTTAGAGTCTAAAACAAGTTCGAGAAGTATAAGAACAGCTGCTTTACTTTCCGATAGGTTTGCTCTAGCTGCTGGCTGTTGCAGACTCTAAGTTTCAAATGAAAATTCTGAGAATTATCTGAATTCGGGCGAGTTAATTATTTGAGGTCTAATGATGGGTTGGGAACTAGGCGTTCATCTTAGTGATCCTTGAAAGATTAGTCGTAATACATGATTGTCTGCATTTTTTGTAATCAAAGAAATATATGAATTCCTTGTAAGAGACTTTAGAATGATTTTTTAACTCTGACACATAATTGCGTTCAAGGCTATCCATTCTATTACCTACTTTTTCTATAAAACAAAAGGCCCTTTCTCAGGCCAATACATTTGACTAAAGCAAATTTATTATCATCTTTCAAGCTCTCGCAGTATACAGATAAGGGCGTGCAATAATTAACTTGGTGCAACCTATTTATGCGGTTTAGGAAGCAGTGAGAATGGTGAAAAAGTTGGATAGCAATGAAAAAGGGCTCCCGTGCAGCAATCGGAACCCGTACAATGCACTAGTAATGTATTAACTATTAGGTCGGCTAAAGCAAATCTCTCACAAAAAATTTTCCTGTTATTCTTATTCATGAATTTTGAGGTAAAGTAGCACGAAATTTTTACTACCATTCAATTACTTAGAATTTTATGCTAACAGCTAAGGGTAGCTATGCCTCAATATGGCTAAATTTCTTTTGAATTCTATAGCTTCCCTTTCGTTATAGGATGGATGTAGAGATGAGAAACTCGGTATTTGGATACGCATAAGTTTCCTCTTTGTAATTAGCAAATAGCAATATATTTTTGGTCACATTCAACAGAATCAAAATTTGTTTGCAACACTTGCAGGAGCAGCAAAAGCGACAGAAATTATTTATTAGCTGACCTAGTATATTTGAGATATAATGAAAAGAAGAAAATCTGAGAGTGCAGTTCATATGGAAATTAATAGTTAGAAACGCTAGAAAGACGGAAGTAGTGTGAAGCCAAATTGAGAGAAACGCTACTAATCAAGCTTGACTTATAACATTGCTAAGACATTCAGTTGAGAAATACGTCCATGAAGAAGGAAATCCAGTAGATCAAAAGCTTATTTGGACGTTTAGTGAAAACGGCTCAGATTGCTAAATTACGCCAAGTACTAATGGCTGATACCCTTAGATAAACTAGTAATGGGCAAGGTGATCCAGGCTTCTGCACAAACTATGCATTTTGCAAAATACCGCTGGAATTTCAATAATTGATTTCGAGTTGGACATCATAATGCAATGACCAGCAACAAATGTAGGAAGATCTCGAATGTGCATCATCAGTCATGAACATCTGTGTCGAAAAAATGCCTCAACATCGGCAAAAATAGTTATGCACTACACTTAACGCGTAAATTCATTAATGTCGACTCAAAATGGAGATATCCCAGAAACTTGCATCTGCCAAGCGCTCAGAGATTTGACAGACATCTGACAAGAGAGTCATCTCAAAGTTTGAATGAATTAATCCTAGGAAAGACATAACTTGAATTGAAGTATGTAGTGGCCAAAAGCCCTAGGTAAGTCTATTGTCACGACGACTAAGATTTTGAGTCTTGCGCCACAATATAGAAGGAGGAATAGAAAGTGCAGAAGTTGTAACTCACTATGGATAACTAAAAGAGACTCTCTCAACGTTTTGCCACTTTTCGTTCGACGCTGTTAATGCCAAAGAACCATTCATGCCCTACATGACATGCCTTTGACAAGCGAACTCGGTAGCAACGAAAAAAAAGACAGAGAGACTTTCATTCTGGTCATATCATTTGCTAAATCATGAGTGAATTTATTATATTACGAGTTCATGCTTTATACGTGATAGGGAAACTTTAGAAGAAAGTACAAACGAGATTTGGTCTTTTTTCGATCATATAAAAGTAAAAAGTTTGGCCCTAACAAAATGCTTGACTTGAGATGTAACTAGGAGAGCAAATGATCTGCTTTCAAGCAGTGCCCAACAATAGCTATGCAAAAAGCGGGGCGACACAAGGTGATAGAAAGAATACAAAGATTCGCTACTTCTGCTATTTTTCGATGTTCTGAATAATAGAAGGTTGAAGAAAACTAACGTTTAACTATGTTTGGTTTTGTGAGGTTTATCTAACCTAGGAAGCTTCGTTCGATCTAGACGTCTTTATCTAAGCTTCTGACTCTCAATTTTTCATTCGACTTTTTGATTCTGTTACAGTAAATCCTCCAACATGCATAGCGAAACGCTATGTATTTCTACGTAAAGTAGTATAAGCACTATGAATCAAACTTAGCCTCCAGCAATTAAAAACTAAAATTTTATGAAAATTTTTGGTTCAAAACTCATGGAAAAACCTGAAACTAGGTAATCTATTTGGCTACGAATGGCCAAAGACTGAACATTCATGGAAAGCCAGCTGCGTTCCTTAACCGATGTTTCATCTCTTTTTGTCTTCGCGCTCTTGAGCATGTTTATTCGAGCGACAATTGTGACGAGTACAAAGGTCGAATTGGTCTAATTTGGTTAAGAGGCATTGCTACATAGCCTAATCAAAACCAAAAACTCTTCCTCATTGTTGGTAAGTGGTCGAAGATAACAGTAAATTTCAGTTGCAGTATGAAAGCGTTAATGGATGAAATTTCACATGCATAATTAATTTCATAATAAATGATGTCAGTGCTTACAAAAAAATCTGTAACGGTATAGCTGTCTTCTGTCTTGGAAATAAAAAAATCTACAGATTCAAAATCTCTTCGTGGTAAATGCGGGAACAAGATCACGGCACTTTCTTTTGCTCCTTCTATGACTTTTTTTGAATCTTTGACTCTAAATTGATGTGGTTTAGACCCTGAGTTCCACGTACGTGATGATAGCTACCTCACGATTGTAGTACATTTGCCCAGCATTTTTAGATCGTCAAAAATGTTCGCAGAAAAGCTTTTAAGGTTTTGTGATAACAATTTCCTATTTGATTTTCCCAAAGAGTGAGTAAGCACGGTCAGAACTTTTCGAAAAATAACACTTTTGAGATCATTCGAAAACATCGGTTTGCTGAAATTCATGACAATTCAAAGCGAATACTTGGGAAACGCTCATTACTGCATCAACCTGATACCCAGGACTCGACATGAGGTGGCTTTTGGAAAATGCAAAGAACGAAGTTTCCCTTGATTTCAGCGAATTTTTACGAAGTTCCCTTTGACCCTAAACCCTAAACGTAAAAAACCCTCAAAAAACGAAACGTCGACCAAAAAATCGTAACCTAAGTTGTGTTTTTGACCATGAAAACGATATCCCCTTTGCTTCTTGACCCAAACACGATATCCAGCTTGCTTACAAGCCAGCTGTGCCGAGCCCTGCTGATACCTACACTATGCGTACAGCATACTGTGGTGAATGCTACAATCACTTCTTAACTTATTGTTAGAAACAGCTGTTGACGCATTCCAGAATGCTATTACAAGTTTTTCAGGGTAAATGATGAATAAATATTTTGAAAGAGGTCTCTTTTCGAAGTGTAGGATGGTAAGACCTCAATCTTTTTTCATCGCATTAACAGTTTTGATCGGCCGTGTAGGGAGCACGGTACATGGTGAAAGAATTAGAGAGAGTTTGTGACATCTATGAAGGCTGAAGATGTTGAAACTGAACCAGCGACAATTGATAGGATGTAGCTAGAGAAAACAAAATTTCTATTGTTCCTCACGTCAAGTATCACTTACCTGTACACAGCTTTTAACAACAGCTGACACTTTCTTGCACTACTTTTACAAAGCCTTATAAAAAAACGAGAAAGCAAGCGATCTTTTACCTGTTCATCAGAGCTCCATAAATTTTGAAGTATGAGGCAGCACGGGCTGAAAAATTGTGAATCCCATTCAGCCGTTAATTACTCGGAACCAGAAAGACTTTGTTCGAGCCTTACACTCCTGAATCATCTAATATTTATGAGTTACCACATATTATAACCATACAGAAAAAAAATAATGTTTGAGATGAAGGCCAAAAGTAATCACCCATAGCGTCTCAGTTGGTTGGCGATTGACTGCGAACGCGATCTGGTAGAACATTTCCGGATTGAGTAGACCCAAAAAAATAATAGGAAGTAAACATGTCTTCTCGTAGAAATAAACAAAATTGCCTTTAAGAGGCAAGTTTTGAGCAATAATTGGTCCCTAGTGTCCAAGTGGGTTCATCTTCCGTGGAAGAAAGGACTCGATGGTTCTGTGTCAAAGGCCACGGTGGTCAACTGAGTTTGCGTGTCAAATGGGATGCAGGGATGCAGCGATGCATAAGTGTGCTTGTTTCAGCTGCTTCAGAGAACCTGATATATTGCATTCTTGAAATAAGCAGTATTTGTAACAGGTTGGTCCGAAGTTCTCTCGCACCATTTTTAAGAAATCGCAACTTTTCCCCTTTACGATGATCTTGCTCGCTGAAAGAGTAGAGCATACACTTTCTAGTGACATCTTGACTATTCTCCAGTGAGTTTTCATCCGAAGATAAAAACAGAAAATTAAAATCTTTGAGGTTCGATTGGAGGCAAGCTCTTTAAAAATCCAAAATCTGCGCATTAAATTCCCAAACAGTCATTGTCATAGGTTTCCTGACCTTCTTTTTTCTCCTGAGCAATTTGTGCTGAACGAGCTCTTCCTAAAGTTATGATTTTCCAAAAAAATTTCAAATCAATTTTCTCGAGAGATTTTGGCATATTTTCGTAAAAAATCATAACTTTTCAAAAAGAGCTACATCAGCACAAAGTTTAATCAATCAGAGAGGGGAGGTCAGAAAACTTCTGATACTTATTGTTTTGGATTTTATTGCACAGTGTTTGGATTTTAACCGGGTTTGGCTCGAATCGCCGAACCTCAAAAATTTTTTTCCCATTTTTATCTCTGCAATCAGATCCTGATAAAGAACGTGAAAGGCGCCATTGAAAAGAGCATAGTTTACGATCTCTAACAAAACTAACATAGAGCAAGAACATCGTGAAGATGAAGTTACGATTTTTGATTATGGTGCGACAGAACTTTCGGACCAACCTAATACTAGGTTGGTGCATAATTAATGCACGTTTTTCGAAATTCATATTCAAAGCGTCGTAATTCGTTTCCCACGTCATCTTTCAAAAAGCAATAAGAACTGTTGCAGAGAGCAAATCCTTGGCTTTACAACATATACTTTTGTTCATAGATAAATGTGACGAGAAAGTTTGTACAATCCGAAAAATGCCAAGAATTTTTTTAGAAACCTCTATTTTGAGAAAGCATAACTTACTCTCAAAGGTAGGAGGAAAGCGCAAACTTTGCTCATTGCGCAGTGGTCAAGAGAGAAGTGGCAAAAAACCCGGATTTTACGATTTTTCTGCTATAAGTTCAAAAGTGATCATTTTTTCTAGCTTTTTCAGGAGAACGAAAAATTGTCTTTTTTGAGAATTTTTAAATTTTTTGCCACTGAAGAGCTGTAAAATTTTACCGTTTTTCTATCACTCAATGTGCTATGTCTATTCTTTGTGCACAAAGCAAAATCGCAGTCATTGGTTCTTGTTTCAAAGTTCTATACGACTTCGAAAGGCCACAATGACCGGCCAAGTTTGTGGTTGAATCTCTCATCTCAGAACTTTTGCAAAATTCTGCTTTATAGAGATTTCTAAAGAAGAAAACTTCGCCATTGTTAAACATGAAATTAACATCTTTTGTCCTCATGAAATTAGAGCAAAAAGAATGAAAGGAAGAAATTTCGAGTTTTAGTCTCTCATATTCCGAAGCGTGGAATTCGGTATCATACAGAGTGTCACAAAAAAGAAAGGATACACAAGAAACTAGAAGAAACGCTCTTTCAGATAGCATTGAAATTTTTGGAAAAGATTCAGTATCCTTGAAAAACCAGCGCTTGGAAAAAGAGGTAACAAAAACGTGCATTAATTATGAATCAACCTAATATGTGTTGATCTGAGGTGATCAGCGGTTTTTTGGCCTCAGAAGCACAGCTCTCTCTCTGTCTGACTGCCTGCAATTTTTGTTGTAAATCTGCTATGTAATGAGATTTTAGCTAACAGCAATGACAGCTTGTAGGCATTTTTCACGTAGATGTATTAGGTCGTTTCATAAGTTCGTCGACTTTTTATTTTTGTCGCCGTTTTTCGATGAAGCGGTTGGTTTACGGCAAAGCACATATCATTGAAAAGAGAAAATCTCTTGCTCTACAGGAACTGTTGTTCGTTTTTGGAGCAAACTTGAATCCCCTTCTTTTACGACTTATCAAAGCAATATTTTTTGAAAGGCAAAAATTGGCGATTTCGGCAACTGCACTTTCCGCATTTGGTCCGTATTCCGCAAGATGTTTCTGTCATAGGTAGGCGTGATGGATAGTAGCAAGCAAGACTGAAACACTGACAAATTTGCAGCATGCCAATATGCATAGAACCGTTTGAAAAAGGTCCCAATAGTTGTTGTCTTTGACTGCCGCCGCTTGACTTTGGCGCGTTGTTCAGCGACACATTGTGTCGGTCATCCTATCGGAACTTGAGGAATGGATGCGTTCTTCTAAGTGGTGTACATGTATGAGTACAAGCTCTGGCCAACAATTTACGCTTTCTCAAAAGATTTTTTGACGTGGGAACTTCTTCAAATTGTGCCAAACGCAAAACATCTACACACGTGGTAAACGTGCGTAATCTTTCTTTATAGCGTCTCTTTGGATATGGAGACTACTTCTTTATGCACCGTAGTACCACAAACAGTTGTTTCTCATCACTCATAACAACTTCAGACGAAAAATTCCCACTTGTGGCTCCGCATACGGATCGAAAGTTGCAGGTGCCGAAATCGCCAATTTTTGCCTCTCAAAAAATTTTGCTTAGATAAGTCGTAAAAGAACGGGATTCAAGTTTGCTCCAACGAACAACAGCTCTTGTAGAGGAAGATTTTCTCTTTCCATTGGTATAGGTCCTTTGCCGTAAACCAACCGCTTCATCAAAAAACGGCGACAAAAATAAAAAGTCGACGAACTTATGAAACGACCTAATAGCTCTTATGCGCAATAACGCCAGGACCCAGCTCGAGGTAGCAGTTGTCTAGCTGGTAATTGTCTTCATGAGATAAAGCAAAGGGATTTTTATGAATACCCGTTATCTTGTAATAGATACCAGTGGATCTTGGGAATTTTTTTAAGGATGGTGGGACGACAGAAACTTTCCAAGTAAAGGGAAGTAGGCAACGTTCTATAAAGTCAGGACTCTAACGCCGAGGATTCGAGAAAAGGAAGCGTAGAGGCAGCTAACGATTCACTCGCTTTGGAAAATTCATTCCAAAATCTCGCAAATTTATTAAATCGACGCTTTCGCTTTCGACCATTTACTTTCGTGGAGGTACCTACGCGAAAGCATGCAAGATATTAGGTTGGTGCAAAAGTAATGGCCGATTTTCCAAATCTTTTTCCAGGGCAACTTTTTTCTATCAATACTTCTTCTTTACAATAGATGTAGTATACCATCGCGAAGCTGTTTCCATGCTCTATCTAACGGTGCTTGAAACGTGCTCTCATCCTCATCTGTTATAAAGCTACTGAGCTTCAAATAACCGCATCCAAATTCAGAATTTCATTGCTTTCACTTTTCCGGCCAGAATTCAAGCGCCTATCAATGGGATTTCTTCGAAAATTTAGCTATTGTATGTAATAGAAATTGTCTACATTATGCATACTTGACTGTGTTCTTTGAGGCTATCCAGACTGAAATATCGGCGCCTAAACATGGGTAGCTGTTGCGATCATTTTATGACCCATAATTTTCTTCTGAAGAGGTCAATCGCCGGAACTTTGCTCAATTCTGTAAGCGTAGGGCTAGGGCATCCTGTTAGCAGTTTTTGCAAAAACATCCAGCTGTTCAGTGCCTGGAAAATTAAAAAATTCTATATTCGGGACTTTGAGGCACACTGAAAAAATGTTAAAAGTGAGAAATTTCAAATTTCCATTTTTTTCTTTTTCGCAAACTTTTCTGTCCGAATTCTTTTTATTGCGTTTTGTACTACTGGCTTGCAGCTACAAGATAGGCTACTTTTTATACTAACAAACTTTAAAGGAAGATATGAATTGTCAAAGACAAGATTCTAGCAGAAGAACCTTCTTTATTTTTCAATCCATATTTTTCTTCCCGTTCGTGATATGAGTATAAATAAATGTGCGCTGCATTGCAGAAGGTTTGCTACTTCTGATAGTTTTTACCGCATTCGGAAACGTGAATTCTTCCAAAAGTTATAGCACGTCAAAGTGAGAATTCGCAAATCGGCCATTACTTTTACACCAACCTAATACATACCGTGCTACAATTTCAATGGTAATGGTTGTGGATGAGCTTTGGAGGTAAATTGCTCCGTGTTGAAGGAATTGTTTCCGCTACTCCCTAGGCATTGTCGCACAATGGCGTCATGAGACAGGTATCATCAACGCACCTTCTAATGCTGATTGAAATTGCATGGCAGTGGCAGAAAGTAACGGCGTTAAGGTATAGGGCATTTTTCCACCGAAATTTGCATTGTTTAGAAAAGCCTAAAATATTGTTTGAATTTCTGTTTCACACTACATAATAACACTAAAGAATGAACAACATCAACAAGTGGTAAGTTGTTTCAACCAGCCTTAAGCTCGAAATTCATGATCGCTGATATTTTTGGCTTCCAACCTCATAAATCTCTAGCAAATTACATTCAATAATTCTCCACCCATACTCGGCCTGCAGCTATGCAAGGCAGTTTGAAATTGCGTACCAAGCTGCCTTGATATACCCAATTTATGTGTACCCGCTGCGTTTTTTTTTGTACTTCTGTCTTTATTTAACACCCCTACCAGTCTTCAAACGAGAAACGCATACTTAGCTTGTGCCTCCGCCTAGCTTTTCTCTCACATTCACTGTCCTACCAAATGGATAGGGATAGATGTGCATCAGTGTAAGTAAACTTTCCTCTGTCAATTTCAACTTCCTGGTCAGGTATACTTTATTAGAGCGGTACGTCAAGGACTTTTTACAAAATAGCAGAGAAGAGACTCAGGGCACCTAAGTAGCTGCCTTCCTGCTTTGTCCTCTCTGGTACCAGCTGTTTGTGACACTCGCACATCCTCATCTGACAAGTTCCTTTCGATCCTGAAGGACCAAGCCAAATTGATTCACCTATGGTTTAGCTTCAGTAACCTACCACCATTGCAGGTTATTGTTCCATTCGCGTACTTATGGGAATACAACATGAACAGATGGTAATATTTCTCTCTACATGGCGACTCTTCCGCGGTTTCGCAACTGTGGTACGTCTCGCAGCAACTATTATTGAGTCAAAATTCCTTTTCTCGAGCTCTCTCGTAAATATAGGATGCGGAAAATGTACTGTCCCTCCAGCTTGGCTCCCGAAATACCCCAAATATAAAGCAAATTTGTAGTTTTTTGATTCCCATACGTAGGCAAGATCCTTGAGATTGGATAAAAATAAGTTTGATTTGGAAGTGTTCCCTTCTGTCTGTTTGAACGAGTGATAACAGCTCGCAAGAACATTAACGATGCGCGATTTTGGACCGTAACCATACTACCAGCATTGATATAAGGTTTAAATTAAGCTGGTATGTAGTGCATGGCCTCTTCTCCAGTATTCTGTACCCACTATAGATGAATTATAGATTGGTGACTCTTGCTTTGGCCAAATAAGGAAGATTATATCACAAGCAAAACGCAAAAATTCTCGAATGCTTAATGAATTGGATTCAAACTATGATTCAAAATTCCGAATTCCAATAAAAAGTAAAAGCAATGATGAAAAGAGCATCGGACTTTGTCTACATCACGATATTGGAGCGATAAACGATTATACCTAGTCTCTGTGCCACTTTTCTGATTGCACTCTTTTGCTCCACAGCAGCTTTCTAGTTAGAAAAATTCACAGCTTTTATCCTAGTGCAACTGCAAAAGCATCCTGGATACTTTCAGAATATCTCAGGATCCACTACCACATTCCTTAAGCAGTGGAGAATTTCTCAAGTTCGCGTGACGAACAAAAATTCTTCCCCAAAAATCCTCACACTTCTTCATATTAGTAAAGGGGAGTTGCAAGATTTGATATGAGATGCGCTGCGAAAAGGGATCCGCCGCCGGGTAAAATTGTAAAATCTTGAAGCCAGTTTTTGTAAAATGCTAGAATATATTCACATCTTGGGAATTATGCCAAAATTATCACAAAACCTGTGAATTACGCCGATTTTTTGAACTTTATTTTGAGGAACAGTACTTTTTCCGCACCTTTAGTTTACTTCTTCTCCCTCATGATCTCGAAGCGTTTATGGTCCACACATTTTTTTACCTACAAATATGTGGGGCACATATGAAAGACAATGATCATTTGCGCGCTCTTCCTAAGTCAATCTGATAACCTACCCTGTCTATTTCTTGAAGTTGCTTTCCATAAGCCACAACTTGAGAGGCACGAATGGAATAAAACTTGGCCAAGCATCTACGGACAGGAGAGGATATAAGAATACTACAAACAGGGGATACATCACGTCATCCCTTCCAATGAGCTGATCCATTTATATACTAATTTACAATTAATCAATGGAACGTCACGTTGCTACTACACAAAAAATTCACATTGATTACATAAAAAATTGCATGTTGAAATCTGCCTGTTATCGCGACAACTTTCCGTAATAATGATCAGCACTTTTCTTTAACGATTTAATGGTCAGAACTATATCTTTAGTACTTTATAGTGTGGACCCCGGCCAGCTTCCCATATGTACCTCCGCGCCGCGAACGCAGCGCATGCCTTCAGTGCTCTTTTCGTCCCAGGACCTATTGGTTTCTATGCGTTCCTCTCTTTATTGAGTTTGTTTTTTCTATAATCTCTTTCTTTCAGGGTCAAACGAACCGCACCAGCTGATGATGACAAGTTTTTACGAGCCTCAAAAGTCTTGAGAGCTTCTGTCTCAAAAGCTCTCGTTTCTTTCCTCGAGGATTAAGTATAGTTTGAAGAGATTTCTTCAGGGTTTCTATCACGGACCAAACGTGTCTATTCGATTGAATTTGTTTCATATAGAAACGTATCTATCCGACTGAGTTTGTTTTGTCTAAATCATTTAGTTGCTTTTCAATGCGGCACTGAAGCTTCAGCTTGTTAAATTACGCTCTCCACCTTATGCTTCTAGTTTTTCAATGATTGCAGAAGAGTAACGTTCCAAAAGTAATCCTCTTTCCGCTATTTCTCGATTTTCACCCATCAGTGGTAGTTTTATACTAGTATGCATGAGAATGACAAAGAACCGAGTGTTAGTGGAGGTTGGAAGAGTTTTTTCTTCTGCTTAAGCTTTTCTGGAGGTGAGAATAGAGGGTTCCACTTCTTGTCTCACTCCTATCTTAAGTTAGAGATGATTTTTTCGTTCATATGGAATAAGAAGCGTCAACAGTGCGCGCGTTGCGTATGCGCTGCGGAGGTACATATGGGAACCTGGCCGGGGTCCACACTATATACAAGATGTCCCAAAAATTTCATTACTGTTTGGACTACAATAAAACATTTTTCATTGCCTTGATGTCTTTCGTCGATCTCAGAAGTCATTCTGTAGAGCTGACTCAAACTTATATTTAGTCTGTTATGAAACGAAGCACCTACCGCTTTTCATGGCTGTATGATCGCGGCAGGAATTTGCAAGATAAGATTGCAATTAAGCTGCAAGTTAACCTTTTCAAAACCTAAAATCTTTGGTGGTGGAGATAGAAGCGCTGATTTGAACAAGTAATTTTATAGTCGTAAAATAAAAAGTGCGATCAAGTTTTAGGAAGGATTTTGAGAATATTGTTTTTAGGTATAGGCGTAACTTTTGAGTGGAGACCCCGGCAAAGTGCAATGCTCATTTCTGATCTGCAAATCTAACTCATTTTACGACAAAATTTCCGCTCTTTCAGGGACTTTCTGAGGCAGTATGAGTCCCAATAATCTTCTTCAGTGTTTCCATCATTATCTTGCAGTAATTAAAGCAATCAATGACTCGGCTCTATCATGTATATAAAGTTTAAATCAGCTTTCCACAATGGTACATATAGGTCGACGAAAGGCAGAAAGAGTGACTTTTCAGATCAGACTAGGATCATTCTGGGGACACTCTCTATATTAATCATGCATTTACTTACGTTGTCCCGAAGTTCTGTTGTTTCATTTCCAAAAATTTGTAATTTTCGCTCCTTCCTCTTTGTAGATGTATCCCAATGAGCTTCTACTATACACTTATTGTAGAGATAAAAATAGAAAGGAAACACCACCCAATCTTCAATCATTTGAAGTTAGGTCGCAAAAAATCAGGAACATGGCGGAAAAATCTGAATCGTCAATGCATAAGTTTTATAACCTACTCTTTGTAACTGAAAAAAAACGTGTTGTTTGAACGTTTCTGCGAGAAATTATGTATTCCAGGTTCACAATAGAAAACGCCAAAATTGAATAGTTTGTCACTTTTCTTGGATACCACAACATCCCTTTTCAAAAAGTTGAAATTCTCGATAACCGAATAATCGTTCGATTCTGTCCGAAATATAAGGATACGTCGCTGATTTGCTTCCATATAGAGAGCTTATCCGCACTGCAGCACTTGCACTCAATCCTCAAACATCAAGCACAGTTCGCAAGCAGTTGCGACACAACTACGATCGAAATTTTTAAGTAAATAAAACCAACCCTATAACTAATTTACATCTACTATTATGTGTGCGACCATGTAAGACAGATGTTCTATGCTGCTCTCTCCCCAAATTTCAATTATTTGAAAACTTCCGTACCTATTCTTCGTTCTTCTCATCCCAGAGATATTCATCAAATCGGACTATATATTGCCATTCTTATTCTATTTGTTTCGCATTAAACGATTAACCAGTGCAACTTTACAAACGATATTTATATTTTCTCAAATCTATTCAATGAATGAATATCTGTTCTCAAACACATTCTCAGTTCTTTCGAACCTGATTCTGAGAAACGATATGACGAACGTGGTCACTAATAAAGCTGAATGCAAGTATAGGGAGATGTCAGAGAATTACGTGTTACACACAATGCCAAAAATAAATCTGCATATCACAGAAGCTCAAAGCTAACGTTATTAAATAATCACAACAACAACATAGAATTACATCGGCAGGTACATAATGCAGAAAGTTCGATAAAACAGCCTCTATGGCAATTCGTGAAAGAAGAAAAGCACTTTTGGAGGAAGACGCTAATGCTCTGGGACTTCCGATGGTTTTAACAATGGATCTACAACAGCCGCTTCCTTATCGGTTGACTTTCTGTTCGCAGCTTCGGCTTCTCGTAGCTTTCTTCTGAAATTATCGGTACTAAAGGTTTTGAACATGTATATTTTGCATGTTGAATCTGCTCCACAAAGATATCAAGTATAGTTGAGACCTATGGCAGCCGCGGGGTCTCATAAGCGTCTCAGGACGCGTGAGAGCCAATCACCGTAAGATGATATGCGCAGATATTATTGGCCGCGGCGGGTCCCGACAAATCCCTGTTTTATCATTAAAAATTTAACATCCACCCTTTACCCACCCAATACTTTTTCTCTACGATCTCCATACCTTAAAATCTGCCCAACTACTGCTCCTACGCAATACTTCAAATAAACTATTCAAGTTAGTGGAATTCTCAAACCCCTTGCCAATCTCATACCGTATATGTACTTGTTGAACGTAATATGGTACCGCATGTTACAGTATACATCATACAACAGTATTAGAAGCTTCGAAGCAATTTGAGCAAATATGTACTAAATTTTTAACTGAAGCTCGTAAAATGTAACATATACTTCTAATATTGTAACAAAAGGAAAACAAATGGTGTTGTTTTCAGTATTTTTAGAGCGCAGTTCTTCTGAGCAAGTGTCTAATATTTTTTCTTGGGATTTTTCAAAGTCTATAAAAATCACCTCATCACCAATGCTCGTTTCTTTAATTCTGAACTTTGGTAACCCAACTCAGACTTATCATGTGAGACTTTTTTATTCTTCGCACTTCATATGCATGGATTAGTTGTGAAGGGGCAAACTCTGTACACAATAGCATAAGGAAGCAATCATGATGGCTCTCTTCAGAAAAAGCAAGAAAATGGGAGGATTAGAGAACGATCACAGCAGGCGTTTTGCAGAACTTCACTTCAAAGTGTATCATTTGAAGCAAACTGGTCTTGGAGCATCTATTCTTTACAGGTGACAGTTTGACATTGGTAGCTCTTAACAGCAACTGTCAATCACATTCAAAAGATCTGCTTTCAGTTAGCGAATTTGTTAGCAAAAGAATTCTAGAAAAGAACAGACACATTGTAGCATTTGATGGGATTTGTATGAACCATACCAGATAGAATTGGAACCTCGAGTATGTTAGGAGACATAATACTGAACCAAAGCACGGTACCTTTGCGCATTTTAATAACGCTTTATACTTGATCAAAAATATCCGAGATTTTTATAGCGTAGTCCTAAGAATGGAAGATTCCTTATTGGCCGAACACTACTCAGTCAAAATTTTGAAGACTCTGTGGTCATGGTCCTCATTTTCACCTTATCAGCTTTGAACTCTCATTCTCGAAATCGTGAGAAACCCACGTCTTCCGCACAAGATAGAAGAACTGATTTTTCTATAGGGGCCATCATCGTTGAAATCTCTTGATTTCGTAGATTTCCCAAAAAATGCGCTTTAACATACTCTTTTTTTGATGATTACTGGCAAGAAAATGCGGAACAAGATGGACTATTTGCAGCGGTTTAACTTTTACTGCATTTAGGCAATCTCTAAAGCACATAGAATTGACATTTTAACAATTTTTTTCGGGCGGTGGGAGGAGGGAGGAAGGAGTACGATGCAAGCTAATGTGGTCCGTATGCTTGGCTCGCATAAAGGTCTTGGCCTTTTGTGAATTGATCATTAGGACCAGGCTAAGGTGGTAGTGAAGTTTTTTCTTTAATGAGCGTAAAGTGCAAATGTGTAAAGTGGGTGTAAAATCGTGCAAAAGGTTTGACAATAAATGTCCATCATTTGCCTTCATGATGAAAACAGAAAAAAAAGAAGGCAATGCTGTAATCTGCAGGAAGCAAAGCAGATCACTTTCTACTTTGCACTCCAAAAGTGGGTGAGTGGCGCATTGGTATGAGGCGCTGAAATGGTCTTTGTGACCAAAGTTTGACTCCCGCCCTGGGTCAACGCCAGCCAAGCCCTCTACACTCAGGCGACGGTAAAGGAGTTCAAGGACTATCTGGGATTATTGGTGCTGGCTTGGTAGTCAGTTGATCCCCACAAGTCACAGTAAAGGTCCCCACATCTTTCGTAATTCCTTTTTCTTCATAAATATATGAGACGAGCCGACAAGTGCTTCTACACACAGCGCGCGTAAAACCCGACTGCTTATAATCACTTCGTTGGTGAAACATACAGCAGTACAAGTTGTCAGAAAGTACTGCCTACTACTACTTATTCAACCAATTAAAGAACCAGAATGGAAAATTTTCATGGAAACTGGCAGCCCCTTATCAGGCATGTCCTGAAGTAAAGCACGTGGTGTGCATTACGCATATTATGTCATAACTGACTCGACTATATGCAGTGTTATTCTGAGGAAGAATAAACTTACTTTCGCAGCAGAATCACCACAGCCCATGCGATTACCACTGACACGATAAATCCAACTGCAACGGCAACCCACCATGGCACGGGTGGCTTATATGTCTCATGAACCTAAATAACGTTCAGCAGGTCATATCAGCTAGATCTGTCATGGGTCCCTGCGTTGCCAAGAATTGCCAACAACATTTTTGCGTGAACAAATTGCTGCGCATGTGATGCCAACAAGTTGCGCCCGCAAAATAGCCAAAGAGCGCGCATTTTCGCTTGTGCACTCGCTGGGTGCACTCGCTGGCAACTAGTTTGAGCGCACATCGGCAAATGATGGCATCAAAAGGACTCTATGTTAAGCGTCGGATCTGGTAGCCTATTCAGTGAGAGCAGCAGAAAATGATGACGTACCTCTCTATTTTTCACAGCTGACGTCGTCACTTCATATACGGTAATCAAGGATGGAGAAGATCTCTTGTCATCGTTTGCCTGAGTACTGCTTTCGCTCTCAGACACTGAACGATCGGCCACATCGTCATTTTTCGCTGCAGCGGAGATAAATTTAGATTTTTCCGCCCTAGCTGGCTCTATCTCGCGAGCTCTTTCAAGCACTGGTACTCTTCGCTCAGCTGAGGTGGTGGTCGTGGGAGTCGTACTGGTCGCAGTCGTCGCTCTCGTAGAAGTCGTGGTTGTCGGCCTTCTCGTAGTGGTTTCCTCTTCGGATTCGGGCAGTTGCTGTACATGTGGCATATCTGGTAAGAAGCGAATTTCCTCCATTTTCGGCGTCGTTGTCGTCCTTTCGGTGGTTCGAGTCGTGGGTCTGGGTGTTGTGGTCGTGGTCGTAGTCTTCGTTTGCGTAGTAGTGGTCGTAGTGGAGGTGGTGGAGGTGGTGGAGGTGGTGGAGGTGGTGGGAGAGGTGGTGGTGGTGGTTTGAGTGGTAGTCGACGGTGGCGGAGGAGGCCTGGTAGCCCTTGTCGTGGTTACCGTTGTCGTACTTGTTTCTCTCACGGGGGTTGAGGTAGGTAAAGCCTCTGTGGAGGTAGTGGAGGTAGTCGTAGTCACTGCTGATGTAGCAGTTTCCTTCTCTGTACTTGTAATCGCTTCCTGTTCCTCTTCAGATTCTGCACCCACAGAATCCGAATAATCATCTTCCTCTGACATCGGTGGAACCTCTCTCATTCTAGAGGAGCTGTCATTCCTGCAAAAATGATAATTCTTCGAAAAAAAAAACTTCCTAAGCATCTATTTCTCACTCCGTTGCCAATCGATCTATCTTCTCAGTAGAGTTTGTCGCCTCCATCGTCGTCGTCACATCTGCAGCTGATGTCGTCGTAATGCCAGTATCGCTGCTGTTTTTCGTCTCGTAAACGCAATCGTTTTGACCTTTGTAGCTAGCTGCACATCCACGTTCCATACAGCAACATGTGTGCTGAATGAAAAACCTTATTAGCAGAGCGTAAGCTGAATGGCTGCAGAAGAATTTACGAAGGTGTCATTTGCATTCATAACTATTTGTAGTCACATCTCTAAGCATTCCAGTAACGGGAGTTTTTCTATTGCTTCAAGTGCGCATTATTCAAACATTACCGAATAGTTGTGCGAACAAAGAATTATGGAAAGGAGTTGGAGCAAGTCATAACTTTCCATGTCTCTTTTCAACAAACAAAGCGAGGTAGCAGATTTGAAGATGTTAACGTGGCTTTTGTGGTTTCTGATTTGTGTAATACATTTCTTCAAGGAAAAAAACACATCCAAGAAGGCATTGTGATTCTGCTTATAATTTTTAGAATTTAATAGAAGTCTAACAAAGAATTTGGAAGCGCGGGAGATCAGAGAAATTCAACCAATGCAAAAAAAATGCTGATAACTGTTACTATTCCTGTATTTTAGGTGGGGAAGCTCGGTAATTTCACGGATTTTAATTGGAAGTTTTCCTCTGGTATCAAGACTGAGTTTAAATTTTGCAAGGCCACGAACGCCCTCTCATTAATAATTAATAGTACGGGGATCATAACGAAGAATTAATTGAGAGGATCCACAATAATTTCTTCAAACTTCATATCCTTGTGCGAACAACATTTGCTTGGTGTTTCCTTCAGAAAACTTTGCCATTCAAATAGCATCCTGCACAAAGCATTGCAATATTAGAGTTATTTTCAATCTGAAGCAAGGCTTGACACGAGGCAGCCTTCCGAAAATGCAAAAAAAAGTTCCCCGGCTTTGGCAAAATTTTACGAAGTCCCCTTTGAGCCTTATCCGAAATATCCGAAAGGACTAAAAAACGAGACGTCGAGCAAAAAACCTGATTTCGGACCCATAAAAACGATACCCCCTTTGCTTTTTGTCCCAAAAACGATATCCGCTTGCTTATAAGTCCCGGTGACGAGCCCTGATTTGAAAATGTGATTTCGTGGTAAGAGGTAAAGTACAAGAGAATATTTTCAAATATTTTGTGCATATTAACACCATCAAAGCTTCATGGTTACGCAATGAGGCTTATATCGCATATTTTTAGCACTGTTTCTTGATGAGTCAAAGAACCATGTAATTTGATCCTTGTTAAACCCTGCAAGATTTGCGAAACGTGAATAGATAGTGCATATTCTCTCGTTGCTCACATGTGTCATATGGAAAAATCTTGAAACATATAGGTTATATCCACATCTTCACAAAAAATACTGTAGTTTTTGCTCCAAACGATAAATCTCATCCACATCGAAAAATTGCATGAAAGATAATTTTACCAATATACTACAGTGCGCTTTGTGCTCTTTGACTTCCGAGATCATTCAGAGTCATTTGTATGTTATACAGCTTCAGGGTTTAAAAAGATCTATGAAATGCTTGTTTGGAGATGAGAATCAAATAGATTACTGAACAAAGGTGGACTTCAGAAGCCGAAGAAAGAAATAAAAATTTCAGGAACATTACAGTAAATAGCCAATATTCGGATAAGAAAACATGTATAATAGAATACTGCTGTACTTTTGTCTCGATGCGATGTTCTGAAAATTCGAGTACAATCTTCAGATATGCAAAACTTGAATGATCTTTGGGTATACTTGAACCAAGAAAAGTTATTCTTGTGTCAAAATAGATCGTGCTCAAGTGTTTCAAGAGTGTTTTGCAAGCTACTGATGTGAAATCTACTGATAATCTCCCATAAATGTATTAGCTCGTCTAATTGATATGATTTTTCTCCCACGACATTGCAACACTCTCATCAGCAAAACTGGTCCAATTATGGCTCGACTGTGACAATTGCACTGATTATCTTCGTGACGACTTTTTCTTGCCAAAAGGCAAACTATTTGGCTTGCTAATTCCAGGTAGACTTCTTTTTTTATAGACGTGATTTAGTGCAAACATGGTTTCACTGAAATTCAACTAGTATGGGAGTTGCGTATTAGCAGTAAGGCAGAAATCACAATTGTAGAGGTTCCTATACCGATTACTGAATGAAAACAAAGTATTCTTGTAATGTCGACCACATTAGCGCAGAAAAATGGCGATGGGGCTCAAAATTTGGAGATATGCGCTCTGCTTCCAATTTTTATGCGCAAATGTTGTGGCCACCGCGAGTTTCTAAATCAACCGTGAATCCACTAGATTGTGCCTTATTTAGTCACAAAAGAAATTTATTAGAGGAGTTTCTGATCACTCCGACTTTCCTGAACAGAAAGCGTTGGGTATCTATATAAAAATCGTTGTGCATATTCAAAAAGGTGAAATTGCGGGAAACCGCGAGGCTCCCGCAGCGAAAGCGCCTGCAAATCTAGCACCTTTATGATTACTGGATCACTTCTACGACGAAAAAAACGAAGCAAGCGGTTTTGAGGATATTGAGGATAGATCTGCTGAATATTGAAAATTGTCGCTATTATTCCATGTACTTTTATGAAATCCTACTCACCAATCCTTTCGAGATAAAACATTCATTATGCCGTCGTCCAGCGCACTGTTCTTCGGTGGCACAACCAGCCCGATAACAACTCTGAAAAACAAGTCACTGAATATGGCAATGCTAAACGTTGAATGGAAAGATCAATGCTTCACATCAGCCCAAGCATTATTCCATAACTAATCGAAACAGGTTTCTGTATGAAACTCTTTGCCGTTCATGTGCTGGACATTTTGTTGATGGCAAGCGACCTCGACTCTTTGCCTCATTCTAGTAGATTCGATAGAACAAAGTGAATGATGACCCGAAAAGTTACTTCAAAGTAGTGCATGGCAAATAATTACAGGATACAGGAGACTCGTGCACGACTATCGAACATGTAGTGAAATTAGTACGAGACGCATGCGTTGGGTAAATACGCAAAGTTTCCGAGGCAAGGAATAGTACGAGTTCAAGCCAGAATCACTTAGAAAAAAGAGTACTTCCAAAACTTACATGTTCATGGTCGATACCATAATAACACATTTTTGAGGGACATTCTTCACCAGTATTGTCACATGTGAAGGCCTGTAAAAAATTTGTTACAAGAGAAGAACATCACGACAAATGCCATCGTTCACTTGGAAAATCTCATGATTTCCATAAAAACGTGTCTAGATGCGCTAACAAATGTCTTCTCTCTTGAAATCACTAAAGATCAAGTAGGAACTGAACAAATAAGAGAAATTCAGAAGCTTTTTTCCTCCCTCTTATCTTTTTGTATATCTAATATGTAGTTCAACTTCAAATCAAAATTTTGTTAGTTTGATTTGAACGGTGAAGTTCTAGTTATGATATGTAGTCAATTATGCTTACATACTTTGCCACAAAATTTGTTATGCGATATGAAAGATAGAAAATTTGTGCGTACTGCAAGATGATTAATTACCTCTTCTCCATGAATTCCAACGAAGTTTGCCCATAGTAAGAGGAATAAATATTTCTTCATTGTGGTTCTAAAGCAAGAAGTCATACGATGATGTGTGCGCAACATCACGGTTCTAATGAGATCCAGACGGCACATATAAAAGATACAGTATGCCAATGAATTATACGGCCACTTCAGGAGGTATAAACATCTGTGAGTGAAAGGACGGCGCAAAAGCTCTTCTCCAAAGGAAAGGTTAAGGGGACTATGGCGTACGGTGGTGATTCAACGATACACACACACATAATACCCACACTATAGAGAAATCAGGTAAACCTTATGGGGACACGGTGACGAGGAGGAAGTGAGGGGGGGGGGGGGCAGGTTGAGGAGGTGTCGGCGAACATGTAGGCCGAGTGCATGCACGCACTTTGTTTGCTCTCGGCCTACCATTTAGGAACAGAGTTATAGTCGACTAGTGGACGACCAGCCGGCTATTATGCATCGCCACCCCCGCGGTCAACCCCCGTCTCTGCTGCCGCGCCGGTCCCCCCGTCATTGCGACTTGCGGATCCGATGAGGACCGGTCAAGTACTGTAATAACGTATGCACAGCTCTCACATGCCGACAATTGTTCACGCGTCCGGGTATGATATGTGTTGGAACTCGCTATCAACATCCATGAAAACAGAGCAACAGAACTCCTATAAGACAGGGCGATATGACACGAAAAATCTGGACTTGCTAGAATGTCAGCAAAACGGACAGCTGCAGAAATGGGGGCTTTTTCAGAGTGCAAGACTAGTTTAAGACACTGCAGGCATTGTTTCTGATCGTGCCATGCCATGGACACCTACCACCCCAACAGCTGTCTGGTACTACAGGCGTTTCCGCTCTGGTCAAAAAACTTGTAAGCTCCCGTTTATGCGGCTAAATAGCAACTATTTTCAACTTTAGTGAAGGATAGACTAGGAAAGGGAAAAACCAGAAATGGGAAGCTTTCGCCGTTCAGTTCAGCATTTCTAAGAATCGGAAAGAATATGATAAACTGCTCTAATCGGTGTTTCGCGCAACTTTTCATCTTTCTTCCAGTTCTTAACAGGTTGAGCTAACTCTCATACCGGCTCAAAAAAAAATCCTCATTTCGAACCTATCGTTTTTACCTCCTATGACTCTAGCTAATCGTCACAATTCTCATTTCTTTCATCTCGAATCTCTACTAATTCTTCTCCAACCAGCCTTTCAGGTTTATGATTTTTCCAAGAGCCTTTGATTCTTGAAAAGTTGCTGACGAAAAAGCATCACACCCCATAAGGTTCTGATCGAACGGTCCAAAGTCCGATTACTAGCGTTTACCGCTCTAAAATATTATAACTTGAAAATTTTAGACGCTATGGGAACTGTAGACTTAGAGGTGAAAACTTTTTTGTTCAAAAATTTTGAGATTATTTCAGTAATTGTCTAAAGATATGGGAAATCAGAGCGGCTGGAAATAATCTGTACCATTTAGAGGCTTTGTCAATATTTCACCTGATTTGAGGATAATTCCGAAAGGAACTGCAAAGTTTACATTACTTTTGACCCATGTTGGTACTTCTTGCCACATAAATCCCATAGAAACCCAATAAAACTTTACACTAAGGGGAGGAGAGGTTGTCAGAACACATGCAGGGAAAGTAGTAACATTCACAGGTCTGGATTTCTAATAATATGTTAGCTGTGACGGTGCGGCTGATTGCAGCTTATCAAGCTGGGAAAAGCACTTGATCGGTAATTGTTCATAACAGTGTAACTACGAAAGCCCTCTTCTGCATTCACATGCAACAAACATCAATTTCAAAACATCAGAGGTCCAATCTGAGGTCTGGACTATTCAGAAAGGAAAAGATAAGCAAACTCAATAGACGGTGTCGGATTTGTGGCATATTTAGAAAGTTGCTGCTGATCGAAAATGGACCCTAACAAAGGTGTGCGCACCCGTAAGTGAATGGATTATAAGAAAAACTTTCGGAAAAGTGGACATGATCGCTAAAAGGCAAGTTTTTTTGCAAGACTCAAAAGGCCATTTTTAGAAGGAAAATGGCAATGTGCAAAAGACGCATACCTTTCAGCAAAGCAGAACCGCAAAGCAAATGGAGTTCTTTATGAAACTATTAACAGTTTAAACGGAAAGCAGCTCAAGAACTCGCTCTGGAAGAAGTAAGGATACGCGAAACGTTTGAATTGATTGCAACCGGTTAATGCATTATAGGATTCTGAAGAAATCATCAGTTCTGAGGTTGGAAAAGTGAAATTAGAATGCAAGTACGTAGAACTAACCTAAAGACTTAGCGAATCGGAATTAGGGTAGAGAAACACACTTACGAACTTGGAGTGAAGTCGCAAAAATTCACAAAAATTTCAATGAAGGAAGGCAAGAACTTGGCTTTTCGGGATTTCGCTATTGCAACAATCTGATTCCATTTTTTACCATATTTCATGCCAGGAAAAGCAGCGGATATGTAACAAACCAATCCTGAGAGATGGATGTGCTTGCACTTCTTATTTAGAGGGAAAAATCTGGATTGTTATGCATTCCGAAAGTGAAGGTTTATATCTGACCATGCACTACGGCTACCACTCCGGGAAAACAGCAACTGTTTTGCCCCCCCACGCAATGAACTTGCAAGTTACTTGCGAGTCGATGAGTCATAATTTGTCAGAGGATAATTTGTACTAAAAGGGAAAGGTAAACATTATTTTATAAACATTTTAGGAGGATTCGAAACAGATAAATAACACAAAAAAGGTAGCGCATAGTGCGTAAGGCTACCAGAGTAGGGTATATCCACATCTTAACCATACATACCATGAATGGTGAGAAATGGATAAATCGATAAATTCGATAATTCGTCGATAAATTAAATTAAGCTGGACTTCTAATAAAGATAAGTTTGATATTCACATTCCAACGAGACGAGGCAGGAACACGATTTTACAAGATTCAAAAACAGTGTACGGCGGCCTACAAAACTAAAATCTGATTCGATCGTACCATTTACTTGCTAGCTTGATTCACTGATTCTGACTCCGTTCTCCTTGAAAATTTGGCAAATAATCTCTTTTTTTTTGTTATTTTTCACGTGAAGGAACATACTTGGATTTTACCGGAAATTCCTACATGTTTTTAGAGCAGGCGGTCATCCTAACACATGCTCATGATATGATGAGTAGCATGTAGTACAAGCATGTAAGCGAAGATGATTGAGAAGTGTGGAACTAATCATATAAATAGAGTATTTATATATGTTGCTGGACAAGAATGAAGTTGTAGAGAGATGTAGGTAAATGAAATATCAAAAACTTCAACATAAAAATGGGTGTTTCTTCATATGTGAAGCATTACCTACGCCAAACCTTCCAACCTTGTACGGAAGACGAGGAGGAGAAAAAATGCTGCTTAAGGAATTGTTTGTTCAACTACACATTTTCATATGTTGAAACAAATGTTTTACCTGACAGAACCGGTTAAGCAATTATGAAAATCAAAAGAACAAACTTGGTAGCATCTTTTTTATGAGAATATGTAGAGAAAACAGCGCTGGAAATAGCCTAGATACATCATGAGTTGGATAAAGTAGTTTCATCTAAGCTGCATGCATTTGGTCCTCCATAACATACAAAGCTGAGCATTTTAATGTTCTGTTCTGCTGATGCAAGGTGCAAGGTACTTTATTAATGAGTCGGATTCTTTGTTTTAGATGCACTAGTGGTATATGAGTAGAGAATGACCTGTATCACCAATCGAAAAGGTCTCTCAATAAAGACTTGCTTAATTCTTTCTGAAGTCAAAAATTAAGGTTTGCAAAAGATATTCTATGAAGTATGCTCATAACAGAGGTCACAAGTTCCAGATGCATACAATCATATAAAGTTTTGTCTCCACATTATGTGTTCACATGCTTCAGCTTCAGTGAAAAAGGCAATCACACGAATTAATTTTCAAGCTTATACAATTTTCAAAATTTAGGAAAGCAGTACATGTGAAATCTTGGACAGTCAAGGCATACCGAAAAGCAGGAGCAAGAGTTGTGATGATTGAAACTTACAGAAAAAATAAAAATAAACAGATGGTTTTCTTTCAGTATCTATTCAAGCTTAAACTGTGAAATAGTCTTAATCCACATAGAGAATCAGTCGACGATCTCAGAAGCGAACACATGCATATGTCTCCGACGAACAGCTGGTAAGTAACGAGAGAAATAATGATGGCTAGTCCGTGAGTCACTTTCAGCGAGTTTTCTAGAGTTCGATGGAAATATTATATAATTTTCGCAGGAAAAATGTGCATTTTTCTCCTTCGCAAACGACGCAGCGAAACGTGTCCTGCGGAGTGAATACAGTCATTACTAACGTTACTTTGAAACAAATCTGTGCGCGAGGAGTATCCATTCTTTCAATGAATGCTGATGAGTGATCGGAATTGTAGAAAGAAACACTAAGAGCCTAGTAACTACTAGAAGAGAAGATGCTGATCGATTTTTCCAGGCGGAAGTTTCCAGTGATTTGTGGAAGCAACAATACCGATGTTTGCACCGTTAAAAGGCTGTGAAACTCCATCAATCATTTTTTTTTCATCGTAACATTTCGAGGACTACCACAGGTGGAGTAACTTGCTTACTCAGCAATGCGGTACCTAGGTCGTCACAGACAGGACTCAACTATAATTACTACCAAGTCATCTGAGATAGAAAATAATCTTGAAACAATTCGCACGCAAAACCTTAGCGCTGAAACTTATGCTGATCTCAAAATTGTTTCGTTGCAAAGGAATGTGCGTTACATTCTCATTCAGATGGACTTGGCTCTCCAGCTCCCAAACATTCAAAGCGGGGCTAAGATGAGATTTCAAAATGATTCTCCCACAAGAAAATAGTAAGCGATATATAAAAAGATAGGTTCAGGCAAACTTAGCAAGTAAGCGATGCTAATTAAGTACATAGTAAATGCAAAGATGCGACAAAACAGCACATTATAATTCTTCCATAACACGCTCAAGTTCAACTTTCGCTTCACTTTGCATTCCAATAAAAGTTTTATATGTACAAGACCAAAAGAAGCGCAGACATAAGGATCATAGCATGCTAGAACGAAGTGAAAATGGAAATAAACCTCAAAAAAGAACGCACACAATTTTCATGGTCTTCGGCGAAAAAAGAAACGACAAACTTTCCGACTTTTTTGGCAACAAGATGCAAAAAAACTGCCATACTTCAGAAAAACATTCTCAACTTGCGCAGTCGAGGGCAAATGCCAGGGATACCTTTTGTGGGTGTATGTCAAGTGGCATGCGGTTTAGGTACCAATTAATTCAGGTTGCTGGAACGCGCAAAAAGTAGGAGACAGTAGTTTGGAGCACAGAACAGCTAGAACGCGGGCAGAAACTATGAAAAGAAATTTGAAACCAAAAACTTTCCTAGAGTTCTTTCCAGCTCCAGCTGCTGAAAGAATGTCATCTACTCAGCTTAGACATGGTAACTAATGCGAAATCTGGCCACTTGACCTTTTCCAATAACAAACACTCAACTAGTGCAATAACATAATATTCGTAACCTCATATCCTGCCCAAATAACCTCATTATCGTATTGCGTGGGCGGAATTGTTGTGCATCGTGGCTCCACGCGCTGTCTTTTCCGGTACAATACGCAATTTCTATAGCGACCGATCTTGAGCAGGCGATCTGACTCAATGGACGTTGGATTAGCAACTTGCGAATCCACAGAGATTAACAAGTGCACATAGGCACAGACAATGCAAAAGGTTTCCTAGGAGTTCCAAAGGGCTCGACCAGAGAATTCGGCGCGATTTGTTCCATCACCGAAATTTTGCAAATAACTAATCGATTTATCGATTTTCTGCTTTTGTGAAAATTTTTATGAGAATCTCAACGAGTAAATAGGGATAACGGTTAGCCATATCATTTCTTTGACATTTGAATTCCTGTGACCCAGGTGAATTCTGCGTTCTTTACTGTCGTTATCAATGGAGCGCGAAAACTATCGTCTACTCAATGATGAAAATTCAGGCGCGATTGTTTTGGACTTGGAAATTTCCTCATTTTCTTTTTCCATTCCAACCCACAAGACGTTGGTGTTATGTTGACGAAGAACAGAATGAGAGGAATGGTCAGTACTATCATTATAGGACCTCGTTGTGAAGATAAAATTTTCTGCGCTCCATAGATAAAGCGATTACCAGTAGCAAGAAGTGCGGGAATCACAGAAATAGTGGGACTGAACGGTAATTATCAGTACTAGTAGCGCTTGCTAATTTAGTTATCACCAGGGCTGTAAGAAGTGCTTCTTGAAAGTTTTCTCTACCGCATTCTATCAATAGTCACTTTTCTGGCTTCGCTGGAAAATATATTGTTGAAAAATCGGTAAACTCAATGGGAAAACGTAATTAAGAATTCACTCCCTGCTGTGCTACTGAAAATTACATGGTTACAACTACTTGCTGAATTCAATAGCCCTTCTTCTTCATAGCAGTCACTCGTCTTTTTGAAACAATTTGCCTACCGTTAATAAGTTAGCGTGCATAAAATGAATTCAGTTTCAAATGTGCATAACCCGACAGGCTATTATTGAGAGACTTGTTTGATAGTGTTGAATTCCTATAGCCAAAAGTAGGATCTTTCAAACCAAGCGGCACTGCGAAAACATGTAGAAACAAAGATCGGCATAATGTTCCAATAATATTTTCTCTCTACACGATGTGAATCTTATCCATCAAATTTCGTTTTCAGTTTTTGTTCTAATGTTCCAATTCCATTCACAGTCAAAAACACAAAGTGAAAGGCTGATGATGCAACATAACGACGCGACATTGCAAAAAAAAAGGACAGCGCTTAGCAGTCGCTAAAATCGAGCGATTGTAGAAAGTCTCCTTCAAAACAAAATCACATTTGGCCCTCGTCGAAAGTTGTGTCAACTTTTCGTGCAAGAGCTGAAATGACTCATTGTCTTGATTTGCAAAACTCGTTTTTGTTTTGTAGGTTCTTGACACCTGAGAAAAACCATAACGCATGATTCAAAAGTAACGATCATTCAGTGTGCTTGGGTAAAAAAGGTTTTCACTCACTTCGAGTCATGATCATCATCCTACACACCTCAAAATAACAAAAAAAAACTTTTTTTAGTTTTATAACAGCATTTTGACTACATGACACAATAAGAAAGCTGTCGAATTATATTTTCATCTAAAATTCAATCCTTACGAATGTTAATCATAGTTTCAAACAATTAGGTTGATTCAAATTTTTCTCCGTTTCTTCAACCTGCCATAAAATCTGGTAGAATGAAGGCAGGCAAATACTCTAAGGACTACCAGACGCAGTTTTTTTCCCTTCCCAACAGTCGTGTTTTGGGACAATTTGCTTTGGTGGTTGCTGAGATAATTGCCAAATTTTTCAAACCCATGGTTTTTACAATGCCCATCTTTGGCAATTTTTCAAAATCTTCATTGTGAACTTTTGAAAAAGCTTTGATAGCTGTTGGATAGCGTGAACAAAGTGCAAAGCAGTGCAATTTTTTGGCACCTAAAGCTGATCCGATACTATCAAATTCCACTTTTGTCATCGCAAGATTCACAGAACATCAAACGGCGCACAACTAAGGTGTCATTCGATGCAGATTTTTCTCCCCTTTCTAAAGGCTTTCTCTCTTCTCAATTCGTGGAGTCTTCGGCAATAAAATCATCATAACTCGTGATTTTGAACCCGCCCCAGGCTGTATTCGCAAGATGTCAATTTTGACATTTCGAAGCGGCAAACGCTCTATTGCTTTGTGAAGTTGGTGTGTAACCATAATCGAGCTCAATTATCAAATTCCGACGATTTGTTAGTGTTTGGAGCCTTTGTGTATTTTCGACCGCAAAATTGAAGACTTTCGGAAAAGTTACCCTAAAAATACTAAGAAGCTCGCTGAAGATGCGAGAAAATTGTATTGCATTGCACTTTGCTTACGCTCTCTAACTGCCTTCAAAGCTTTTCCAAAATTTCAAAATGAAGATTTTGGAAAACTGTCAGAGTTGAGTATGGTAAAAACCACGGCTTTGAAATTTTGGCAATTATCTCAGAAAGCTCTTAGGCAAATGGTCCCAAAACATGACTGGTGGAAAGAGGAAGAAAAACTGCGTCTGGTAGTCCTTAGAGCATCTGCCTGCCTTTATTTCACCTCATTTTACGGCAAGTTGAAAAAAACGGAAAAAACTTTTTAGACATGGGAGCGCAAATTTTTATCCATTCCAATTTCGTCACATCGATGGCTACGAAACACGCTGGGATTGATAGTTTTGCAACACATCCGTTGTCATATTTTTCTTCAATCATTTTCTCTTTAATTCATTTGAAAGTCTTCGCATTTCTAGGGATAGTCTTTCCGATCCCGCCTCAAAATCTTTGCAACGAAAATCGGGCAGTAAATTTTGCAGGCAAAACCCGAATAATTTCGGAACTCTAGAAATTGACTTGTCTGTGTGTAAGTATAATTTTTTAAGTGAAAAAGTTAATCTTTATTTGAATAATACAAAAATGAAGTACGAAATCCTCTCGGTTACAGACCTTTTAGACAATTAAAAATGACTTCTTCATTTATACAGGATATGCTCCGGAAAAATCATCCTCGATTATTGCGAACCGCAGATAAACAACGAGACGGATAAAGCAAATTCGCAAACATATACTAGTAATAAAACACATTACTTGCCTTGAAAAGACAAATAATGGCAAGCTCGAAATAGAAGAGAATTTCATCGCTGCCATTTCTGTAAGTGTTGACAGCGCATTCACCTGAGAGCCCAATGAAACCTGTTCAGAACTACATTCTTGACTTTTTCTTTTACCGTTAATATCAAGCCACTTTACACTTGAAAAAACAACCCAAGTTAGCCGCAAAGGGCTTCACAGATACCGAGCCCCTGTCCCACATAACTGAAACTTTGTTGATTTGCTCGCTTCCTTCTTTCTGTATTAGTTGGTTTATATGATGCCGAAATTTTCGGAATTTCATAATATCCTCCAAATTCAACATATTCCTTTGGTTTAGTACCCTTGAAAAATGTAATATGGATTTCGGCAACTGCTCAAAACTAAATCTTGTCACCATACCGTTGAAAGTTGGCTGACAAGCTAAATTCACATCGTTTCTCTTTAATTTGGTCGCTAAAATTGCTAGAACTTGCGAAGATCTCACTTTAGTGTCGGCGGCTTTGTGATCTACTCTTTTCCATCAGAGACCACGATGAACGGATGCCTTTACATAGTTGTAACTTTCAGAGTTTTCGGAATAATTGTTCAAAGCTCCAGGTGCAAACTTCTGATATATATAATGAAATTTTCTAGAATTTTTGGTGCAAGGCATGGTTTCTAACAACGCAAGCTTAGCAATATATCGTAAACTCTCTCAAAAAATGCAGCACTATCGCAACAAAATAAAATACTGTAAGTACTACTTTGAACGGCATTGTAATTTTTCTCCTTTTTTTTCGAAGAGAATAATATATCTTGAAGTGATTTGCAAGCTAGAAAAGCTGCGGTTTGTTAGAGATTATCTCTACGGTTTCAATGCGCGTAAAGAGCGCGCAAACTAGAAAAAAACCCGTTAGATTCAAGATCCTATGTTCTGGTTCTTAGCGCTAATCACATGCATTCCAATGTGATTATACTAGACTCTCGAAAGTTCTATAATATCATCTTGAGTTAAGTAAGAGCTTTCATCAAAATAGTACCTGTGATGATTCATTTGACGACCTTTTCTGCTCTTCGGATACTGTGAATGTGGACAATCTCTCGCTAGTGATTATTTATCCATTGATTGACCCGAAAACTTCGATTTTCTTCTAATCAAAGAATTTCTTAATTGGTACAAGTGCCTATTAGTAGAAGATTACGATTCGTCGGTGCAATCTTCGTGACAGTCACACGAAACACGAAATGATTCATGCTTTCACGTTCGGGAGGTCAGTCATTGAAGTACATGTTCCACAAACATATGAAAACTTTTGACAATAAATACAAACAAAATTGCAACAAAAAGATATAACAATATACAAACATAGCTTAAAATTATATTTACAAAAGTCTAGTATCCTCTAATCCGAGAAACATGCCATCCGGGATAGCGAACATCTTGCTGCTCATAGGGTGCAAGCACTGACTGGCCATCCCATTGCATCATTACCCGTGAATACCTTGAGTAAAGTGTTATAGGTAAAAAACACAGCAACAGAATTTTTTGTCAAGCTAATCCATGGAGAGAATACCCAGAGCAAGTAGCAAGAAGTGAAAATCGCTATCCAACGAGAATAAAGCAAGTCTTTGGCATCATAATAACTAGGCTAACTAACCATTTCGGCCATTCCTGAGGTGCATATCGAGCTAAATAGCCTTGCTGAACTTTCGTTCCCGGGTGAGGATGAGCATACTTCAAGAGGGATTCATCGTATTTATAGGTTTGCCGTTTGGAGCGATCAACAACTGCTGCGCTGACGAAAAGAATTACTAAAATGGAGTATTGAGCAATCTCTAGGAAATCCGATGAAAGTCTAGCTTCTTTCATGATGGCAGTAATAAAACCAAGGCGGCAGGATTATAGGTGTTGAACTGGTTATGACTAAGTAAAAGAATTCTGATGTAGGTCACCTGAGAAGACGACAAATGTGATGCGAAACATAGTTCGGTAGATATGGGCCAGTTCAGCCGACTGATCACCGACTTCGTTGTCAAGTGATTGATCTAGCGAGAAAAACTCGTACGGGCTCAGACCGCCCCAATCTCTCATAATCTTAGCTAACAATAAGCATAAGATAGGTGCAACGCCCTGCCCTTCCTACGGCTACTGCTGAGAAATAAGCAACCATTTTGTATCCTTTTTCTCGGAGTTGGACAAGGTGTTTTTAAGTCAACCTACATTATGGATAAGAACAACGAGAAATGCATTGCAACTATTTGGCTTATAGCGGTGGCCGAGCACCCCAAAGTTTTTTCAGATCATCGCATGGCCCGATTTGTCAGATGGACTGCGGAGAAAAAAAAGGTTTTTTCCCGTGCCCAGCGGCCTGACGAGTGCTCGAGCAACTAATAAGTTAGAATTACAGCATAGGTAAAGATCTGCCCCAATTCAGCAGTAGCGGTCCGAAAACTTTTTTGTAGGTTGTAAAGAAGTAGTTCTTCGCAAGACTAATTCGAACTTAGAAACCCAAAAAATTATTTCATTTGATTAGAAGTGAAAACCAGTCTTCTGCGCATATAACTCATGTACGTAGGCTGCTTTCCCACCCCTTGGTCCGCCACTGCAATTCAGGCATTTTATGATATTTCTCACACGGAAGAGTTCCCAGGTCAGCTCTGCCAACCCGGATGAGTTATACGTCGCCGTATCGGGCTTGAAACGCTGATTTCAAATCTGCTTTCCATTTCTGCGGAACAGCTCTCAGAGAGAAATTGTGAGCATCTGAAAGCCTAAATTTGTCATGTTTAAAGTGGCTTAAAATTAGCTAAAAACTCTAAAACGACACCTAGCGGGCTTCCACTAGCTGTGTCCTGTGCTTGTAGTCAGTATACTTGTTACAAAACTGATAACTCACTTTCAAGTGTTATTGTACAGCTTTCGCCAATTTTATGCCACTTTAAACATGACAAATTTGGAATTTCACACGCTTATATAACTTCGTTCGGAGAGCGGTTCCGCAGAAAAGGAAAGCAGATTTGGAATCAGCGTTTCAAGCCCGTTACGGTGATGTATGACTCATCCGGGTTGGCCGAGCTGACTTGGGAACTCTTCCTTGTCAGTAATGGGAAGGAGTGGGAGAGGGCGAAGGGGGGGGGGGAAGACAAGGAAAGGATAGTTGGTGAGAGGATCCATATCAAAGCTTCTTGAGACGCTGAACACAAATATGCTTTCAATATCTGCAAAACCATAGTTTGCTAAGTTATGAGCTTTTTTCTGCACAATTTTCGCACCGCAAAGCTTAGTCAAACCCTTTAAGTTTTTAAGGACTCGAATAATCAAGGACCAGATTTTTTGAATAAAATTCGAAACGCGAATAATAAAAAAAACAACTTTTTGAAGCCGTGATCAGCTTTGAACTGTATGGTAACTCGCATTCCTCCCACTGCTTGGGACATGAAAAATTAGGCGTGGATTTTGATTGTCTGCTTTTTCTACCAATCAGATAGTCCGCACTGCTATTGGCATCAAATCAACAAAAATACAGTTATTGAATAAGTAGTCCGAGATCATATACTGGAAGTGTGTTAACATGTCAGTTTCTCTTCATTTGCGTTGCTAATGGTTGTGGTCCACAAAGGTCCACCCTAGTAAATACTCTTACTTGTAAAACTAATGCTGCACAATTGCTTCTATTTTTCAGAAGTTTTTCACGAAAGATCGGTCTATTTTGAGTGAAGAACATTGCAGTTGTAGTAGAAGAATAGAGGATACTGATGATTTTGCATCATATCACAATGCGATAGAGTCTTATTCGCTAGAGAGTACATTATAACCTTCCTTTTACAGTACACTCAATGAACAACAGGGCAGACATTATAGGCAAGAGCGTTTAACCCATAATGATTTGCATTGCCAAGCAAGCTCCATATCTTGAAGCTCCGAACTTCTGGATTTCAAGCTGTCAACCCATCCGCGAGTATTTCTACCATTCTTCAGTATGAACATATGGAACAGAAGCGAGAAGGTGTACAAGACACATTTTTTAGCATTTTATATGATCCCCTGATAGTCCCTGGCAACCGACCATCTTTTCTTCAAAGTCAGTTTATCTTTCTTCAAAGTTAGCGAAGATATTTCAAAGTTGTACTTCATCTAGCCAATAGTGTTAAGCATGTTGCTGATAAGAACAAATGATGTATTGGAGTCATGAAATTTGCGATGAACCACAAGTCGAATGTTGGGGTTTATCGAAAAATTCAAAAAACTCATCTATTCTTATCAGCAACATGTTGAGCACTGTTAGGCTAGATGAACAGTACAACTTTCGAATGTCTTCGCTAACTTTGAAGGAAAAAAAAATGACTCTGAAGAAAACACGGTCGGCCACTGGGGATCATCAGGGGATCATACAAAATGCTGGAAGATGCGGCTTGTACAGCTTCTCGCTCTTGTTCAATATGTTCATAGTGAAGGGAGGTAGGAATTTTTTCTGATAGGTATACAGCATGAAATCCGGATATCTGGAGGTTCAGGACATGAAGCTTTCCTTCTAAGGGCCGCATGCATTGACATCCCCGCCGTGGAGCGGATCGCAGCTTCAGAAGAAAACTTCATATTCTTAAGCTCTACATCTAGGTTTCACGCTGTCTACCTATCCGTAAGTACTCCCACCATCCTTCACTATGAACATCTTGAACGGGAGCAAGAAGCTGTACAAGACGCATTGTCTAGCATATTTGATCCCCTGATGATCCCTGGCGGCCAACCGTCTTTTCTTCAGAGTCATTTTTCTTCCTTCGAAGTTAACGAAAACCTTCCAAAGTTGTACTGATTATCAGCGATAAGGGGATAATGCGTAACAATCATATGAGACAAATTTGAAAAATGACTTTCGAACCACATGTATTTCACTCGACAGAGTTATTAATCTCTCTAGTCAGACAGTGTCATAAAAAGTTACATTGCATTGTTTTCCCAATGTACCGTATGGAAAAACCAAACTGATCACTAAAAAAGCGCGTTGTCCACCGTTTCCGCATTCATCAACTACATTGATGTGAAATTTGACTAGTTGGACATTGACGTATGGGTAGAGGCACATCTTATCTGGACAGAATACTCCAAAACTGTAGAAAAAAACTGTCGTATTGTATACTTAGAGCGCTGGTAGAACTGATTGTTGAGCCTCTTGAGAACGGCTCACTCAAGGATGTTAAATTTGTTTGTGTATGAAGACTACCATGAGAATGCAGGAAGATTGAGTGATGGGTGTTTGCATTGTACAAAATTGAGCGTTGAGCTAGCGGTTATGTTCTAACCTGAGGACTTGCTCTTCATGGCTTGCTAAAGCTATTGCAACTTCCCAAGGGACATTATAGTAGTCCTTTCTATATCTGTCATTTTCACCTATAAGTAACGTTCACATACCTGGATGTCCATATCTGTCAGCCGTAATCTACGTGATTTACTTGGTGCACGTTTGCCTACGTGCATTTCAGAGCCATGGGAGGATGATGACACGTCGCTGAATAGGGGACCTAATCAATATATTGCACGAAAGTTTCGAAATCGTTAATTTGCAAATCTCTAACACTTGTCACGTCAAAGCTTGACCCCACTCATATGTAATATACCTGCCATCGTCCGTACTGGAGTTCGTTCCTTAACCCGTATGTGCGTCAGGATTACGAGTATTTTGCACGGATGCGTAGAAGCTCTTCTCCCATTTTTGTTCGCTGATAGGCTCCGCCCGCTTTTCTGCCAAAAGCCGCCCATGTCAACAGGACGGCTTTACCAATTGTCCGAGCGGACGGAGCCCATTAGCAACTCTGTCTTCCACACCTTTGTTTCATCATGGGTGGGGTGGTATTGATAAAATGCGGAGGAGTTGCTGCAGCTGGCCTTGCTATCTCTGTCTCTGTCGCTTGTTCTGAAGTTAAGCAAAAGATGTTGCAAGTCAAGAAAGCACCAGATGTTGCATCTGGTGCTTTTGCTTGACTCCGCCTCTCACTCTTTGCCTTCAGCTTCTCTTTTTGTGACATTTCAATACCCTACTAGGTCATTTTACGTTCGGGTTTTGTCCAGTTTTATGAATTGTTGCTTTCTTCATTCATTTAGGCATTTGGAACCATAGTTGGAGCAATTATAGCGCGACGAGATAACTTCCCCTTAACTATGGAGCCGGGATCCACTTTATCTATGTGAAATGTAACTAGTCTTGGAAATGGGAGAATACGCCCAGGAAGTCTTTTGCAAATCAAGAAATGGCACAGTCAATCGACATCGATGGATGTTAGCATCGACGATACTGCTAACTGCCTCTACCCTGGATTCTGAAATGCTATGAGGATCTTCGGAGATATTGATTTTTTACTGACCATGTCCGCTAATATTGAAATGCCACGCGGTCGTGCTTATAGAAAATGAACAAATATTCAAGATTTTCATTTAGTCCAGCAAATAGTTTATGAATAGGATTGTTTCTGGTCATTTACTACACCTGGGGCGGTATTTATCAATCTCCTATACAGAAAGGGGTTCCTGTACAGGTATTAGCAGTGCAGGCGCGGGCAACTGACGGCCGCGATAGAAGCCAAGCCGGTAATCGGGCTCCGGTCCATTGGAGAATATGGCCCGATCTGGCAAGTTTGGCCATGTCGGGCACGGCAGTTGGGCAGCGGAGCCCGACTTTTGTCGAGATCGGGCTCTGCTGCCCGAATACTGTGTCCGACATGGCCAAACTTGCCAGATCGTACCACATTCTAAGTTTTAATGAATTACGAGATTGGCGCCCTCGCCTGTCCGCGCACTCGTTAATAATGACCCGGACGGCGACCGAGAGATTGATAAATGCCCCTGAAGTACGGCAGCATGGCATTCCTTGTAGACGAGCATATTAAGTTTTCTTTATGTTGTAGTGTTGCATTGGAGCCACTGCGTCCAGCTATATTATCTCGATATGTTAGAAAAAGCACCTATAAGTGAGGTAGAGTTTTAGAATCATCAAGCGTAAAGATTGTCGGTACCATATTTCTTGCCTACAGCTTTCTACGAATTGTAACTCGACCCTGTTCTCCTACAATGCTGAGATCGCTAATGCAAGGAAAAAC